GAATCTTGAAAATATTTGGAAAAAAAAGTTTGCTTTATTCCATAAATAAAAATATGTCGATCATATATATATATATATACATTTTAGTTGGAATCTTGAAAATATTTGGAAAAGAAGAATGTAGATAAAACTTAAGGTATTTATATGCTTAATTTTAAAAAATAGAGATCATAGAAATACTTAAATTAGGAGATGATGTGTTTGAGGAAAAATTGAAAGACAAAGATGTGACTGAGGAAGAAAAGTGGTAGAGAGAAATTATAGAAAGAGAAAAATGAGAGAGATGAAGTATTAGAGAGGGAGAGAGAGGTACGGTAAAGAGACAAAAAGAAAAGTTACAATTAGAGAGTATTTTTGGAACTTAAATCTTTGAGAATAGGATGGTGAGAATATATTTTAGGAGAAAAATAGTGTAAAAAAGTGATTTAAAAAGAAAAAGCTTCATATGCTATGTGGAGAACTGTTTTCTATTATAACAAAATATATATTAAAATACAAATAAAAAATATCCAAATTAATTGCAATTTCCCTTAATTTTCTTTTTCTTAAATCTTACCAACTTAGTTGGCTAAAAGGTTTATAGTTTTGTTAGACAACAAGAAAAAAAAAATAATCTTAATTTTAAAAAATGTTTGAACGTCACACAAATTTTTTAAAAAAATTATTAGTTTTAAAAGAATTATTAGATACAATTAGAACTTAGTTTTTAAAATTCATAAACTTAAAAGTGCATGTGCTAAAATATTTTTGTAATTTAACTTCTATATATAATGATTGAATTATCAAATCAACATCTTAAATAGAAATTTGAACTTGGGTCTATTAAGTCTACCAATCATAAAAAAAATGTTAGATTATCGACCAATTCAAAAAGACAAAAAAAAAATCTAAGGTAACAATACTTACATAGTAGTATGTACACACTACTACTATTAAATGTACAAATTTTCAAATAAGAGTATTAAATGTACAAATTTTCAAATAAGAGTAAAAAATGTCTGAATCCTAATTTTCATATGAATTACGAATTCTTAAAAAAATATTATATTGAAAAATGAAAACTTTAAAATAACTATTTTTTTTAAGGAATAACATACGGATAAAAATTACTTGGAAGAAACTCTACTCGCAAATTTTCTATCAGGAATCCCTACCTCGATCCCCGCAAAAATAAATAGAGAACTTCACGAAGGATCGAGAATGAAATATGTGGTAGAGATGAAGACGAAAAAGGCTTCCCATCTCACCCCATCTACATCTCTATTCTTAAAAAAATAATAAATAATAATAATAAAATAATTATAACTGTTGTCTTCATTTAAAATTAATGACCAAACTTCAAGTATACATACTAGCATGAGTTAAGGTCAGTAAGTCAAAAATATTCAATAACCCAATAAGGAGGAATAAAATGGCCGTAAGGAAATGGAATAGACCTTCAAAACGTTTTAAGAAAAAAAAATATATTTTTTTGGATAGTTAGAAACAAAAATAAAATAAATTTAAAATTTCACAATTTTAAACTGTAAATTAATTTTAAAAGTAGACTATATAAGAAAAGGGACATTAAGTTCTCTAGTGATGCGCTGTCAGTAAAATTGTTTCTACGAAAGAAAAAAAGAGAACTAATGTTAGATATATGTACCTTTTATGTGTCGCTCCATTGACCAAGTTCAGGTGTGCAAACATTCTTCATGAATAACAGTGTTGGAATTTAACTGTCACCGGGTTTAATTTTCGATCCAGCTTTTATTTCTGTCCTGCACAGAAAAATGAATTGTACGCCAAAGTAGTCGGCAAAGGATTGTTAGTAGAATTTACATTCAGCAATATAAGATCCAAGCGTATCTTCCTTTGATACAAGGCTCATTTTTTTCCAAAATCATGTCAAAGGTTCCACTGCACTCCAAATTTCTAAAGCTTTCATTCATTTGTGGGATATTTTCGCTGCCAATTCATACGAGAGGCTCAGTCCTCTTGTGGCGTCAACACCACACACACACACACTGAAACCTAGCAGTTACTTCTCTGCTTGTTTGGCCTTGCATGAATAATAATATCGATTACCTTTCGGCCCTCATTAACTACTCCAAAATGATGTCGAGTCCTCAGGAGAGCTTGTCTTCGTCCATGACCATTCTATCGGTGGTGGCATCACTCACCGTCTCGGTAGCTCTCCTCCGAACCAGAGAAAGAGCAATGATTGGCCGTGACCATAGACAGGAATCAAGAACTGGTTGACATATTCGAAGGCGTCAAATTCAAGTGGGTTTTGTTTTCTTCGCGTATTGAAAGGCCAATTTCAAATAAGAACCGTGATGGTTATGCGCATGAGTGGTCAGATGTTAAACACTTCGAGCTAAGCTTTGACAAGAAACAAGGATATGGCACCGGGATTCTACCTTCTAATGGCTGACTTGTGATCAATTGTTATTGTAGTGGTGTACGTCTTCAGATTGTTCATATGGTTAGTTTGTTGGAGCTGTAACAGTGTGGATGTAATATTTTGTTAGGCTGTTAATAGGATGATTTTGTGTATAGATATTCGTGTAATCTGGTTATTCATTAGGTAGAAAACCTGGAATTTTTTACCCACTATCACCTTCCAAATATTCTGCGAGAACATGCCATAAGAGACTAAAAGAAGGCCGTGAAGCTCCATACATTAGATTACAGTGGCAGATTATTGGGGTTCAATCGATCTTAATCATCCTGCAACATTTGACACACCCGTGGACCCAGAAACTTAGAAGGCACTAACCGGCTATCTCAATAAGTTTGTTGGGAGGAAAGAGTACTATAAAAGAGTAGGAAAGGGTTGGAAACGTGAGCATTTGTTTTATGAACCAAGAGGTACAGGGAAGTCAAGCTTGGTTGCTCCCATGGCTAACTATCTGAAGTTTGACATTTAGGATATGTGGATCTTAGGGAAGTCCAATACATTCAGAGTTAAGAAGATTATTGATTGGCTCTGGAAGTCGTTCAATATTAGGAAATGAAGACATTGATTGCTCTATTGAGCGATTCAGAATATCGAACTAAATTGCAGAGAATGTAAGTAGCTTCGACTTCAGTGGTTCCAAGATACTGGCCTATAGTTACCTATTAATTCAGGAAAGCTCCCACTTTAAAGAAATTGAAGAGCTATTAAATAAAGTTCAGGCAACACCTACTGAATTAGCTGGAGAGCTAATGAAGACTGACAACGTTACAAGTTCACTTCAAGGCCTTATTCAATTCCTCCACGGAAAGAGAGAGACGAGTCGAGCGCCAGACCGCCGAATAGATGCAGGAAAATCTTAGCAAGAGACTACTATTCTGTTATCCCCCTTAAGATCAAAAAAAAATTTGCTTACAAATGATTTTGCTACTAAGTTTTCGATTAAGATTCTCTCTCTCTCTCTCTCTGCTTTCATACCTTCTCCTAATGGATGTTTCTCTCGTTTTATCCAAAAGCAGTACTCGCACTGAATTATTTTTATAGTACGGGTGCAATAAATTCATTCTACTCGGTATTCAGTCTGTGCATGATGTGCCTCTGCACTTGCAAAATACTACAGGCATCTCGGGAATCGATTTCTATGTACCATCTTAGATCATGAATGGAGGTTCCAGAGTTTTTGCTCTAAAATAGACATCGGCCACTAAGAGTAGTAAAGAAAGAAAGATACTATAGAAAGGCAGATGTATCAACAAGCCTAATATATTTCATAAGAGAGAGCACCGGTTGTCGAGATTCATGCACTTGCAGCTCCTACGAAATTCCCCGTCCTTCTCTGCTGCTTCGAGTTCTTAGTTCTCGAAGCTATTCACTCCTATAACTTTTGTTCGCCTGTTCCAATCATTGAAAACATCTCCGCATAGTCCATTACAGTCCAACCAGTTTTGTTCGGTATCAACCGTTCTTTTCTTTCGTTTTGCTCCTCTAAATTATAGTAGTAAAGCGAGAACCTGACTTAGTCCGGAAGGAAGGTTTTCTTATTTTGATGATATATCCTTGCGGTAATTTATCAAGTTCAAGGAACAAGAAAGCTTGATCATCATAATCCATGAGACAGAATATAATACTATGATCAACTTGGCAGCAGTACAGAAAATTCTATATCAAGAAAACAGGCATAATCGGAACCTAAATCAACCAGACTCGCAGATATTTACACGCAGTTGCAGAAGAACAGAGGAAAAACATGTTCATACTTACATCAGTTGAGAAGCCGAGTGGTACGATTGGATTTGAAAGAAAATTGTCCTCAGATCAAGATTCTACACCCGGTAAACAAAATTTCTGTTTCTCGTGCGGGGCAAGAAACGAGCATCGTAAAAAGAATCGTACAGACCTTTCATGTACTGAAAGCGAGGCCGAGAACTACACATCCAGATCGGGTTTTCTTTTTTTGCGTATTGGTGATGCAATCGCGCGGCTTCGTAGTCGTTCGCTATTTATACTATGTCAGTGGAGCTAAGCCACCCTGTTCTAGAAAGTACTCGATGTGGGATTCCATCTTCCAAATTTGCATCAATAATCATATTTTATCAATATTAATATCTTATTCTCGTATTAATTTCTCCTCCTAAAATATCACTTTCGCATAAAGTAATCTCCTCAAATACTCAAAAATGACGCCTCCAACATGTATGGAGACTTTTATTTTAGTTCATTTATGGACAAAAAACTTGATGCTACCTCAATGACAAAAAATAATAAGTAAAAAGAAAGCTATTAATATTACCGTCGGGTGATTAATATGTTTGTTTGAACTAAGAAAATAGTTATAAGATGACAAATAAACATTTCTTATTGCTATGAGTACTAATTTGAAAGCAAGTTAGCATGCAAATGTTGTATTCAAGTTTCAGGAATCAAAATAGCTATAATAATTCAATATCCATTTATTATTTTTTCTGGAAAAATGACTCCCAACGAAATTATTCATTAATATATGTATATATATTCATTAATATGTGTGTGTATATATATAGAGCGAGAAAGATCATCAAAGGACCATAAGCCAGCAAGATATAAGCAGCGCCAATGTTGTTCACTGCTAAATTTATCATTGTGATTGTGAAGCATCAAAGGAATTGGTTATGTCATGCATTTCACCAAGAACACATCTGACGACCCGACTCCACCATGTCCTATCTATATTCACAGAGTTGCTAAATACATAATGCAAGTAGAAGAGGCAAGACGCAATAGATTCCCGACGCAAGCCAGGCCTCGGCCACGAACAATTTCGTTCTATGTACAGGTATGCGTTCTCCAGGAGCTAACTGAAACAAGTATTCTTCAATCTCCATTCACTCGTTTCCACACACAAAAAGAATGTAAAATAGAAATGTTGATGCCCCGTTTGATTTTGAAAATTAAGCTTAAAAATACTAGTTTCACCAATGAGCTTCCTTATTTTGTTATCTACTTTTCAAGTATGTTTTAAAAAACCAAGCCAAATTTCGAAACGAAAAAGTAGAGTAATAAAAACTTGTTCTTATTTTTGAAATTTGGCTAAGAATTCAAACGTTAAAAATCAAATCCATGCAGAGAAAAAAACAACGACGTCACACCATCTCAGTTAATACAGTAGAATAACAAGTTTTGAGTACCTCTTACGCCAAATTCTTCCTAGCCCTAAGCAGATTGAGCTTGTCCCTCCACTGAGCTGAAATAGAGACCAACCATGATAACTAAACGTAAGTAGCTCAAACATTGAATAACCAAAAAGGGAAAATGGGGCTTATTTTTTGTCCTAAACAGAGGGATTCTTTGGAAGAACTTTTAGAACTATCCATAACACCACAAGGTCATCCCATATTAGCAATTAATTATTCTTGGTATTCTTAAGTACGCAAGTTTCTGTTCTAAATCAGAGAAATAAAATTGATTTGGAACATTCAGAATTGAAAAATGTTAATTGAGCAACGAAATCCATACCAGCATCTCTGTAGCGCTCTTCAACAGCAGCAATCAGCATATTCCTCACCAGATCAAACTCTTTGGCTTCCACACAAGGCTGACCACTGGGCCTGAAAACAAAAAAAAAATCAATTATCCCTTTCCTCTCATCAAATGAAGCAGAAGTTTCAAATGGCTGTTGAAAGATCAACGTTCCCCCTATTCCTCGAATATACACTAAAAATATCTTATTACCTATCCAGTTCGGTGAATAGTAAACCGTCCGTAGCAGGGGTCTGGGTTGACAACTTCCCAGTTTCAACAACTCGCATACCGTCGCTGTATGCAAGGTACTTGTTCACTTGAATTGGGACCTGCAACAATTGCAAAAAGTAACATGATTCAGCACACACAGCACATGCCCAAAATATGAAAAACATCCAAATACAGCTTTACACAAATGACTACCAGACATTCTATAACCAATAGCAAATGAACAAATTCTCCAAAAGCCCATATTTCAACAATACTTTGGCCACTTAAAGAGGCACTTGACCGAAGTCTCTACTAAGCACGAAAAATTTAAGTTACCTTGCATCGGACTGCAATGTTTATTGCATCTGAAGGTCGAAGATCAAAGCTGAGGCAGTCATTCTCACAACCAATCTGAAACGTATAAAATTTCAATCTCTTAAACTTACCTAAGAGAAGGGTAAAGAATCCAAAGAGAGAAACTAAAACATGCCTTTGAGAGGTATAACTGGGCAAAATATGCCTCATGCACTCTCTTGGTAACCCTTACAAGTTTGACCTGCTTCGTAATTAACATTAGAAAGAGCCCACATCCCATTTAAGCTTACAAAAAACAAGGTGGAAAGATGGAGAAATAATGCAAAACATACTTCATAACCCATCTTGTCAATCATCTCTTTCACCACTTGATACATGGTTGGTCTGGCCTGGAAACAGATAATATGTTAGAAAGTCCCTTTCAATGAATATAATTCAAATTCAAGAGAAATTTGAATTATATCTGATCACAAGAGAAGACAAAGAAAACATACAATTGGAACATTGCGCACAGCAGCCATGAGCAGAACGCTTGGCATTTCCACTGCAAAAGATGAAGAATTGACAGGGAACACAAAAACAAAGTCACGTAACGGCTCAAACCCACTACTAGCAGATATTGTCCTTTTGGACATTCCTTTTCGGGATTTCCCTCAAGGTTTTAAAACTCATATGCTAGAGAGAAGTTTCCACACTTTTATAAGAAATGTTTCGTTTCACTCTCCAACCGATGTGAGATCTCACAGCTCATGTTAGAAACTTTCGTCCACGAATACTTACACACGATTATGGGAAGAAGAAGACCAGTTCCATCTTCCATCTTCAACACAATTGCGGGATGTGGAGCATAATCAGGCAGATGCCCACCGTGAGGGTTGTTGTGAACACACCTTAAGTGCCTACCATCCCTCATTTTAATCATGAAACCATCCGCACCACTTTTCACCTCAACTGCACAGAACAAACAAATATTGGAGAAATTCTGGAACTTAATGTTTCTGTGTAATCATATAATCTTCAATGAAAAAAAAAAAAAAAAAAAAAACGTAATCATATGATCTAGGCATCAGCTTAGCATACCAGCCTCAACCACACTCGATTCAACGTACTCTTCGTCCTTATCGTTGAAGTTCTCTGCTGTACTTCCATTGTCGTCAGATGATGAACTGAAGCTGCAACGCACTGTCGTGCATTTTCTAGCACAACCTTTGCGAGACATAGCTGGAAACTTAGCATTCAAACCGTTGATCCCTGTGAATCCCCAAAATTCACCTCTTCGAAAACTAAAAGCCATCAAAGGACGCTTAATTGGCAGAGAACAAAACCCTGCTTGCTTCGCACGAAAAGTAGGGCAAACAACTGGTCCTTGCAAAGACCCCATCTCGTGTCCTTCAGTTCACCCAAATGAAAATGATCAGATAAAGTTAACAAGCACAACTCCCAATTTCAACCAAAAAAATACAAAGACGCATGTAATTTGTGGACACTAGAAGCTTAAAGTCATCACTTAGTCATCAGTTTGAAAAATTCAAGTATTAGTCCCCTGGCGACGGAATAGCAAGATCATCAGTCTTAACAACTCGGTAGGTGCTTAAAGATCCATTACCTTTTATAGATACCAAAATTAGGCCGAATCACGACCGAAATTCGTCACAGAAGTCTCCGAATAGTTCGCTAAAACTCGGCGATCACACCTCGATCCGGTAAAATTCCCGCCAGATTTTCAATCCCGGAATTCTAGAATCTAATGTATGAATTTCAAGCACGGAATCGATGGCTAAATTTAAGTTCACAAATTATCGACAATACAGATCGAAGATGAAATTTGACAGAAAAATAAAAAGAGAGAAAGTACTTGTAAAGACCGACAAGATGAAAGGATAAGGAGGAACCGTAGACGAGCAAGAAGATAAATGGATTCTTCAGAGAGGAAGGATTGTGAATGAAGACTTTTGCTCGTAACACACGCCATCGCTTAATTATTCATAAATTCATAGGTATTCTAAATTACCATTCTGGCCCTCGGAGCATCAATGACGGAGTTTAAAAGGATCATAAACATATCGAATATTCTCGACAGCAATCATTTATTTTTTGAAATAATAAATTTTAGGTAGTTAAATTATTAAAAATAAAAAACAAAAGGAAATACATTATGAAAATAAGGTGGTTTTGTATTAATCGTTTGATAAATGCTCAAGATTAGATTAAATTTGTTAATCAACCTAAATTTATTTAAAATAATAAAATAATCCGAGAAGGCAAATAAATTAGAGTATATGTTGGAGGGTGTTTGTGACATTTTGAAAGGAGACGGATAAAAATTGGGTCTGTGATCGTCACCCAGCATTCAGCTTCCATCATAAATAAAATACTCTTTATTGTCGATGGCGGCGGAACAGATCAAAGGGTTCTGATCAGCGCCACGTGTCTTACAATCGTCCTGAAACGTCATTGGATAAGGCCATCGGGGTGAAAATATCAGTTCTATATTCCATTTCCCCATAAAATATCTAGTCTCAAAGACTTCCGCCATGACACCTCAGTGGGTGTGACATTTAAGAATTGACGGTTGGGATAAATCATCCCCTCCGCATATATGTCGAGGATATTATATACTAATTTTGAAAATTACTTGATATTATTTATATTACAAGCTAAATATATATTTTAAAAGGTGGTCTTAATTTAAATATCAACTTACATATTATGTATCACGTTTCAATTTCTAGATCTTCACAATTCTTACATAATTACAATAAACATATATATATTTATTTATTAAATCAAGACAACTATTTTAATCAATTTATTTATTATTTTATAAAAATTAAACACCTCATTATTAATATAAAATCTTGACATTAATGTTAATAACTTCAAATTTTACTATCCAATTAAATTAAATTTTGAAGAAATTTTATAGGCACAAAAAGAAGGTAAATTAAGGGTTAAACAAGAATGTGAAGCTGGATCCCAGGGATGATTAACAGTACATGAAATGATTAATATTAATGGATCAAACTTGGTCCATTTCTGTATCTCTCCATTGGTTTAAACAGACTGACCAAATTTGCTCCATTAATTCATATAAACTTAGTCCTTAATTAGAGAACCATTCTTAAACTCATTCGAATTAATATCTTTAATTATGTTTATCTAGAAGTTCCTCCATTAAAACCCGGTGGCGTCCAAATTCCGCCGCCGTCGCCGGTCACGTAAGACAAGCATCCCAATGGAACCAAGCACAGCCCTCTACTTCTGAGATCTCGATCTAGCTGCCCTTCATGTCCACCTTCCACCGAACTCTGAAATATATAAGAATAATAATAATAATACACAAATTAAATTCAGAGAAAAGAAAATCATATTTTTAGTGTTTATTTCTTTATTTTTACCCGATATGTCGGCCTAGTGGTTCTGTTGCAGGAGGGCTTCATGTATGGAACGCTCAACGTCTGCAGTTTTAAAGGGTTAGTTTCTTTGAAACGACATGATTCAAACGGGCAGGAAATTAGGAAGTAAAAGGAGGGGAAAAAGAAGTACCTCGACTTGATTTTGAAGGAATTTTATGTATCCAATGGCCTCCATTAACACAGATGCTGTGTCTGTCTGCAACACATCAGCATTACACGTCATTCTAAAACCTATGTTCTTTAAGGAACAACAAACAAACAAACAAAACAGGCATCCAACCCTAAAAAGAGCTAACTACAACTCTACTACAACGTATCTAGGGGTGGTCTTCCAGAAATCCCAATGGGTCAAATCATTCAGACTTATTCTTAATATTATTAAACTTTTAATTGTCTAACATACTCCAATTCTCTACCCATCAGTCTTACTATTTTTAGAATAGAAGGCATCTGTTACGGGACCTAGCATTCTTGTTGGCATGGATATGGAGTGTTGTGCTCTAATACCATTTGTAATATCAGAAGTTCACCCCTAATAGATAAGGTCGGCATTAACTCATAATTTCTCCAATATTATATCATTTATTAGAATTCAAATTATGGGTTCAAACTTGGCAAACATTTTTTTATTATACGGTGATATATGTCTTAATTTGTGGATTTATTTCATAAAGGGACGGAAAAAAAGTTATAAAAGTGGGGAACTTTAGAGTTACCTTGCCAAAGGGTGCGACCAATTGTTGGAGGGCAGCAATTCTATCACCTAGTTTCTCTTTTCTAACCTGCGAAGAAAAAGAAAAGCCAAGCACTGAAAATACTGAATATACTTTAAATGAAGTTAATAATAATAGTAAACGAAGGGTTGAAACAAAACCTTGAATGGAGGGCAAGAAGCGCGTGAGTCCAATCGCGATTTCTTAAGAGGAGGAGGAGATGGTTGATTGAGCGTTGGTTGGATGCAGGTACAAGGTCGTTCTGGTTCAGTTAGTTCAGCGCTGAAGGGTGTTGTCATCTTTAAGAATCCAAAAAGTAGAGGGAAGAGGAATCGGTGTTTAAGGGAGATGGAAAACAAAGTTGGAAAAGAAAAAAAGAAAAAAAAAAGTTGTGTTGACTGAGAAAGCAGATGCATTTACAATTACAAATGTATAAAGCTGAAAGTACCTTCCATCTGCATAAAGACACCTCTCAAAAAAATAATTATAAAAAAAACAAAAAAAACTCACCTTACTTGAACTGCATGGGAGAATCGCCGCCGCCGCCGCCGGCGGATGGATCTGATCGTGAAAATCAGAGAGAGTTTGTTTAAACATAGCGAAGCTATCTTGTGAGTGGAACAAATCTGGCGGCGTTTGTAAGTTCAAATCTAAGGAATTTGAGAAGGGCAGCGGCGGAGGAGATGAGAGGTTCCAATCAGAGACATTAATACTTGGGTAAATCATGTTGAAGAATTGTCCAGGTTGGATATGATCACCGCCGTTGATTTGAGAGCCGGATGAAATCAGGGTTTTGATGAAGAGCTTGTGGCTGGGATCATTCAGATCGGAATCATTATTCTTGACGTGATTTGTAGAAGGAAAAGGATGGAAATCTTGATTTGTAGAAGGAGTGTTCAACATTTCTTCTTTGATCTTTCCACCAGCATGGAGAAACTGAGAGAAGAAGCTCCCTGAAGAACTCACGCCATTCCATTCAAACCCCAAATCTTGAAGAAGCATTGAACTGTTCGTATTTTTCACCCCACAATCTGATCTTACTGGAACTGAACAACTCAATCCATTGAATATTCTTGAGTTGTAGTTGCAACTATTATTATTATTATTATTATTATTATTATTATTATTATTATTCCTGCCACAACACAACACCAAAATCTTCCAAATTACAAACCCTAATTTACTTCCATAATTATAGCAATCAAATGGGGTCTTGGGTATGTCCCAAATGTCTCAATTATTGATATTAAAAACCATATAAGTAAATCAATCCCTAGCCCTTAAACTTTAAAGGGGCCTCACCCAAATTAAATTCATAACATATAACTAAATCCAATTCGAGCATAGTTTAGCTCTCTATATAATATTCGAGAGAGAACTTACAAAGAGATATGGGGAGTCCAGCCATGGGTGCTTGGAAGGGAAAAACAAGATGGAACGATGGGCGAAGAAGGCGACGACAGTGGCGACGAGGGAGGAGGAGGAGGAACAAGAAGCTGGTCTTGAAGCTGATGGAGGTCAGCCGTAGACTCCATAAACACAAGGAGTGAAGTTGATGAGTAATAAATATTTGTTCTAACTAGTGAGCCACATTCCCAGGTAACACAACCAAAGCATCATATTTTGCATTTTGACCCCTCACTTTTGTCCAAATTGCCTTTGTTTCCTCCTTTTAAGTTTGCTCCCGACCGCCTTGAAAAGAAAGAAAGAAAGAAAGAAAGAAAGAAGAGAGCGTGGGGTTATTCATCCCCATACCCCTCTGACTCTCTTTAATTATTTATTCTTTTTCCCTCTCTCTTTCTTTCTTTCTTTCTCTCTTTATTTTTATTACCACTTTTTCAAATTATATATCTACAATTACACCACCATCATTACTTCCTCTCTGATATCATTAACAAGCCCACCTGCTTCCTTCGATCCCAAGGCTTTTCTAATTCGTTACTTCCTTTGATATCACTTCTAAATTTAACTTAATTTTTTTTTAAAAAAATATAATTGAAGGGCTTGAGATTATATAATTATCATATTTCAATCATAAAAATTGTGGACCTTCGAAGTTGAAGATTGGGAATTATGTGACATAATTTAATCATCCATAAAGGTCTGTAGAGAGTGTCCCATGGTCATGATTGTTAGTAGCATGCATTAAAAGTGGTTCTCTACCACCAACCCTCCACCACGTGCAAAGTCTAGTCTTGAAGGCCCAAAATAAATATCTTAAAAACAAATTCTCATATAACCATATTTTTAACTTTAATTTGAGTAATTAAGAGAAGCGTTAACTTTTTTTAGTTTTATAATTGAACACATAAACAATATATATGGTTATAAATAAAGTTAAGCTTAGAATCGAGGTCCTTCCAAAAGCAATCTTAGCAAGGGACCAACACTATCATTGGGCCAAAGCCGACCAAGTCTATTATGGCCAAGGGTCCAACCTAGGGGTAATATCAATCCCAACTCGGTATAATACCAACATGCCTCCTAAACCCTAATCTCTACTCATATAAAGACGAGAGAGGAGAGCAAATTTCTTCATTAATATTATTTATTTATATCTATATATATATATAAGAAATGTAAGGTATTTGAGTTGGTGGGGGTATGAGGGCCATGGACAAAGACCCTCTTCGGCTTCAAAACTTTGATTATGATGTTATGCCATTCCACCTAAGTGGGAAGCAGCATATTTGAGTACTTTCTATCCTCCAACAATATATTATTATATATATGGCATAAAATAAGCGATATATTATTTGTCTTTAATTTAGTGTGTAACATATTCATAAAAATAGATCACTTTGAATTAAATTATTTCCGATTAATCTAGGAAAGGTATCTCCATTCACATGATATCTGCTAGCGGTGGATTTGGGCCGTTACAAATGGTATCAGAGCCAGTCTTTTCGCTGTTCCCCAAAAAGGGGTAGACACGAGGCGGTGTGCTAGTAAGGATGTTGGGTCCTAAAGGGGAGTGGATTTGGTGGTAGTCCCACATCGATTGGAGAAAGGAATTAGTGCCAGCAAGGAGGCTGGATCCAAAGGGAGGTGGATTGTGATGTCCCACATTGATTGGGGAGGAGAACAAATTACCCTAAGGGTGTGGAAACCTCCCCCTAGTAGACGCGTTTTAAAGCCTTGAGGGGAAGCCCGAATGGGAAAGTCCAAAAAGGACAATATTTGCTAGTGGTGGATCTGGGTCATTACACGTCCTAACATCAAAATTGCTTTCATTTAAATATGATCCCAATTTATTAATGTACCATTCATTTACTCGAGTGTTACCGTATTTATATTTATTTATGCCCAAAATTCAACTTCTATCATAAGAATAGCTTAGCAAAAGGTGTTTAATAATTAAAGGATAAATAATTTAATTAAGAAGGAAAGAAAAAGAGGCATAATAATTTGATAGGCCCACTAAGAATCAAATCAGACTAAAAAGTTGATGGATCAGAGTATGGGCAACTCCTCTCTCTCTCTCTCTCTCTATAAATATATATAAATATAAATATATATGTATATATCTCCACATTTTGTACATTAATACTCTTAAATTCATTATAATAATATTATTTTTTATATAACTTTTTATTCTTTAAAGCTTTTCTTCTTTTTATAGACATCTTTTTTACTTTTTTGCCCTTTTTCTTATATCTTAGCACTAAAGTTTGATGTATTTGTAGACATATATTAACGTAATTAAATAAGCATTAAAAACTTTGAGATCTGATGTACTGGAAAGATTCCTCCCCTCAAAATAATGGTGGTTTAATGCCAACATAATGGATCAAACTGTTGTCCAATAAAATTGATCAAAGAGGTAAAAATAGTCAATTTTGAGTAAAAAAAACATGTCATTTGAATCCCTCTCAAAGCAGTAAAGTAACAGTAAAAAGTAACTTTGCATTTTAGGGTTTTGAAAATGGTAACTTTTCCCTCCCAACAAATCTCTACCTCTCTCTCTTTTTACTCATTAACCTTTCTCTCCCGCCCAGCTTTTAGATACCTCTTTCTTTTTTTTTATAAGCGCAAGATCTCATATTAGATTAGAGTAGAGAACAAAGTATTTATCTTTTAACATACACATTTTAAGATTAACAATGACACGTAACGAATCAAATGAGACAATATTTATTAAAGGTAAAGGTGGGTTTGAGATTATGAACCAGTTAAGAGATAATGATTAGATTGTTTGAGTTTAAAATGTTAAAATTGGGAGAAGAAAAAAAGTAATTAAAAGTTGAAGGATCTAAAGAAAGAAATTGAAAGGAAAATGATTTAATTAACTAATAAGTTGGGAGTTAATAATGGTTAAGTCGTTGACAAGGCTAGGTAGCTAATTAATAATGTTCCAATTAGAATGTAATAAAAAAAAAAAAATAAAGATGTGGTTTTTCAGTGTTTTTGGGGCACAACCCTTAAAAGAAGGGTTTAAAGTAAGAGATTTAAAGGTGGGTTTTTTTAGAAGAAGACAAAACATTGGAACAAGAGAATATTTGCTTTCTAAATAAATATTTAAATGCTTAGGGGCCATACCCATACCCTCCTCTTCCCTTCTTTTTACACTATTTTATAGATCCAAACAAACAATATATTATTTTTGAGCTATACATTACACAAATATCAAATAGATGAATAATAATAATAATAATAATAATAATAATAATAATAATAATAATAATAATTTAAATAATTAATGGCAGAAGAGTTAAAAGAAATAGTGGTTCTTAAAAAACAAATCTCCAATGGTGCGGTACACCCCAACAGACATATATAGAGAATAAAGGGCGCATCTATGAACACAAGCTTTGTCTTTTTTCCAACCTTAATTATTAAAAAATAAATAAATACATACATTAAATTATATTGTTTTCCCATTTTTCCATTTATATATTAAACAAGTTGACCTTTTAAATTTTTGGTTCATTCATTTGTCTTTTTTTCCTAAATAAAAATGGTTGGATCCAATTCTCTTCTCCAACTTATCTTTATGTGCATTAATAGACAAACTTTAAAGATAAGGTCGGTTTGGGTTTAATTGATCATTACAATCAAGTTGGGCAATTTTTCCTTCAAAGATAAGATTGCTTCTTTTAATTGGGTATCTCAATTTCACTCAAATTTTGCAAATAGAACAAGGTGAATGCGATATTTATACAGGGATTGAAATATAAAACTCTCTCAACCTTATTTTTTTACCCAAAAAGATTACCACTTCTCAAGATTCCCTCCCAACTGTCTTTTCATTTTCAATTAATTATTTCTATAGGTTAAGAAGAAGGATCTTTGAAATTCTAAATGAAATACCTATTAAAGATATTAGGTACCCTTTTAGGTTTTCTTTACTACATACAGGGGAAAAGGTTATTATGAAATTCGTACCTTTTGAATCACCAATTACTAGATATCTTCCAAAGAACAAACTCCTTAATTTCACGACTGCAATTATTAGCAAGTTATATTTCAATTTCTAAGATCATACTCGAAGCACATACTAATAATTAAATAAATAATTGCGTGAGAAAGTTTCTAGTGAAAATATAAATACTGTGAGGAAGGTTCTTGGTGTTGTTTCAATTTTATGAAAATTTTTATTGATATTTGGGTGATATTTTTGTCATATTTCGTAGTTTTTTTTTTTTTTTAATGATATAATGGTTACCCTTATGTTGATAGAATTGCAGACCTTCATACGCTTTGAAAACAATCCTTGGCAAAGAGGCGTACACTTGCACGTTCCATCCACTGACATGACCATTTATGTATGAGTTTATTTATTTTTGGGCCTATAATAAAACAAAGCCTGTTTTCTTCATTTGTGGGCCGAAAGGCCGATTCTAGATCACGTCTAGGGCCCAACACTAACAAAGCGCTGTTTCTTAATCGGACAAGTTCTCTTGATGCAATGATTGATTTTCCATTTCAAAGTCCAAATCCAAGAACGACACAGTATACTCTTAAGAAAATTTTCATATAAGCACATTCCTAGCTGAAAATGAAGAGAAACTAGGTTAATACCTAATCTAGGGATGTATTAGGGCCGAAGGAAAAGATAAATTGGGCAAAAAGTCCTTAAGGAGTAGCCTTTTCTGTAAATTCACAAATCTAAAGCAAAAGTGCACACCCTAGAAGACTAGGATTGCCCCTATGGGGTTTGATATCAAGGATAGTCTAACGACCACCGTGGAGCCTTGAAATTTTCTTTAGAAAAGTGATAAGTTTACAAATTTATAAGAGATTCTAAATCAGACCATAATCATCCTTGGATGACAATCCTAGAAATAATTCAAGGATTACCTTAGAATATCATATTTAACTCTAAAAAAGTTTGATCTTTTTATCTTTCTAGACAAGAATATCATAAAACCAAATAAAAATGTCTCTTTAACTAAAATTGATAAGATTACTCTTAAATTGGATCCCATGCAATTAGTTTATAATATTAAAGATCAAACCATGCATCCTTAAGCAGAGAAAGGGAGAAATGGTAGAGGTGAAATTAGACTATGAGGACAAATATAAAAGACCGGATCAAATAAGGATAAAATATCCAACACAAAAAGTCGAGGAGGATCAAATAAGGATAAAAAACATCCATCACGAAATAAAGCTGATTGAAGCATGAAGGAAACTAAACCACTAAACAAAGGAGAGAAGGAAACTTGGGTCAAGGCCTACGTTTCTTTGTTGGAGGCACAAACCGAACGAGTCTTGATCCTTGTTATCCTGGTCTAATTTAATTTTGATCATCTTTTATCCTAATCCAAAAAGTAATCGAGAAAACTCTAATTAAAAGGTTATACAAACACTCTACGCAAGTACGACTGAATCTAAAACTTGGGAATTTTCAAATTTCTAAACTGTCGCTAAGTATCATAATCTATTGTGGCAAGCAACAGATGTCTGCAGATTTTTCTTGTAGACCACGTTCTTGTTCTTTCAAACAAGTTTTACCTTGTTGTAATATGAATATCAGGTGTGTTCCTGTCCAAATTTACAACACAAAATTTAAGACAAAGCATACAACATTCCGCATCACTTCACCAATTGCATATCCTTTATATCATTTCTAATCGACATTTATTCAAAGTGAATTGCCTTATCAGAGGAAATAAAAGATAAAATCATGGGCTCTATTCAAAATGCACCATCATTCAATATTTTCTTATATGGTACTAACCCCGAGATACGTTCTTCCATTCATACGCTAACCAAATGGTATAGACATTTAATTCCCTTCGTACAAATATGAACTAATTCATAACATAAGCAAAAACACTTTAGTTATGGAACAAATTGAAGACTCGTGTTTATGAAAAAAATGTTGAATATTTCTAAACATACGAGCACCTAAATTTTATATAAGAAATGCTTAAAAAAATATCTTTTTGAAAAACGCTTAAACTAAAAGACAATCCAAACAAGCTCTTAATTTGCCACTATTCCTTTCACTATTCTAATATCTTCTTCAATTGCTTCTTACTATTAAAGTTGAACCAATAATTAAAACTCCATTCAATATATTTAACATATTCTCAACAAACTCCCACGTATGAACTCAAATATTTGCATAAATCAAGCAAATAGACTTTGAAGTCGAGAACTATAAAACTGGAAACTCAAAACTTAATATTCTAATACTTGATCATCAGCAAGTTCAAAAGTTCAAATCAAATATATCAAAGTAAATTCCAGAGCACCGACATGTCCTACTACTCAGAATATGGAGCCACTCAGGCTTAATGTATTATTTTACAGTGCAGTATTGATAACTTTAAGCATTCCACTATGAACATTGTAACTACAGTTATCCTGAGATGCATTTGATGGGTGTGAGTATTCATACTCATACTCTACAAAAGGATAAAAAAAAATAAAAAAAAAGGGTTCGCATATGCACTAACACAGCCTCAGATAACCAAATTCACGACAAGTATTTACTGACAGTGCAGGTCAAAATAGTAAATAAGAGAATGAAGATCGAGGAAGTTTACATTCACAATCGAGCGACGTATGAATTTGCCTGTGTCACATATCTCACCCACCTATACGGATTATAGGTGTTAGACTTCTTTGCAATCTGCAAGTACTTAACCTGCAAGTAAAAGGGAAGATGTTAGCATCTTATAATCGATTATCAAAGGAGATAGCTCGATTCTGTTCAGATAACATGCCTGGAGCTTTGAAGCGTTGTACATTGGAATTGTGAAGGTCATACTAACAGGTCCAGATTCTTTCACGATGTTTCCTGCCATAGAAAATATATTTTTAATTCATATATTTATTTCCTAAGAAAAATATCTTGTTCGTCAATGTACAAAATTTACCATGTGATTCTTGTGAAAATGTGAGCCTTGCACGCAAAGTATGTTCAGATCCACCAACAATCTGCCATGTAACGCCTATTAGTAACAATAAGATTAATGCAGACATCTAATGACAAGACAACACGAGATTGGCATTCTGTAATGCTCCCAATAGTTAGGGAGAAAATGAGAGTAATAGTGAAAAGGGTAAAAGAAAGGGAAGTTAGTTATGTTGGATTCTCCAGGGTATTTGGTATGGGGGAAGTGATGCACGAGTGAGGCAAGGAGAAATTGTGAGGGTTTTTGAAAAGGGAGAGAAGGTGATCCTTCCAAATTAGCCTAGTGAGCGTAATTGAGCTCATAGCTCTCTTTGGCTTGTCGATAACCAAATAATGTAGACTTGATACCTAACACCTTCAGTTAAAACATTTTTTTTTAAAGGAAACAATAATTTTTTTGAATTAATGAAAAGGAAGAGGGAAATACCCTAGTATTCCAAAAGGGTTATGTAAAGGCTCTACAATCGGCACATGCATTAGACAAGCCATAAAAATAAGTAATTCTAGGAAAGGAGCTAACTTACAAAGTCTTAGTTGACTAGTGTATAAAATGATAATTCCTTAATTAAGTAAAGGAAGTAAAGAGACAAATCATATGCACAGAGTAACTTGCCACTCATGCTCTTGAAAATTATTGATAAACAGAGCTCATTTAAGAGGAAGTTTATAGGAAGTGTCTTGCCTTCTTCAAACCCCATTCAAGCCTCTTGGTCGCTTCTTTAAAATCAGTTGTATTTCCTACTGCTCCAGGTTCCAACTCAAAGCTGACTCTGAAAATGTCATAAATAGAAGAATGATTAAAGCAACGGAGGAGATTATACGACTAAGCTCTAAGAAATGAGTTCAAGCCAAACCAAACCAAACCAAACCAAACCAAACCCAACCCAACCCAAAAATGACAACCATTTACGAATGACCTTTTTCTATGCTACACTACACACACCTTGTCGTGAAAGTTGGCAGTGGCATCTGAACCATAACCGTGTTTGCTGTGATGCTTGAGGCAAATTCAGCACGAACTTTAAGAATTACTTCAGCCTGAAAATTAAACAGTCCTTTCAATAACAAAATTCAAAAAGAATGTTAACATACAGGAAGGAAGTTATTTCAACCTTAAGGGGGCCTGCTTCTTCAATTAAGGCATTAATACGAAAGGGAGGCTTGAATTCCTGAGTCATTCTATAATTCATGACAGGAAATTCACCTTCTGGTGGTACCTTTTAAAATAGAATCAAGAATGAGTCACAATTCACAAGAAAACTCAAGCAAATAACTTGCGTCCTTTTTTACTAACCAAGACCAAAGTTCTGTCCGAATCAAAATTATCAAGATGCACAGATTCATGAAAATTACAATCATCAAGGATGACTGTCCCTCCACCAGATGAACTGCTATAATCTGTCACCAGAGGTTGAAGCTGGATGAGTCCAAGGGAAATGTAATAGGTTGAGAAAATAGAAAACAATCAAACAAAATAAATATACAAAATAGATATAAACTTTATCTGTGTGTGTTAGAAGGGAAGGACAGTTCCCAACCCCGTCAGGGGAGATACCAACCATGTCTCCTTTAATTGAACACAAAGATAAAAAGCCTTTATCGACTTAATTTGCTATTTCTATAGAAGAAAATTATAAAGTTTTGGTGCAAATAGGCATCAGTCACTTAAAATATCAATAACTAAAAGAAGTCTTAAATTGAAATATGGAGACGGTAATTTATACAACTCCTATAATCATCCATCATATATCTTTGTGTAGATAGAATACGATGACAGGAGAGCAAATCATATTAAAAACACACACATAAAACCATATACACATATGGAGACGGTAATTTATACAACTCTTATAATCATCCATCATATATCTTTGTGTAGATAGAATACAATGACGGGAGAGCAAATCATATTAAAAACTCACACACAAAACCATATACACATATAGAAGCACAAACAATAAAGAAAACCCATAGAAGATGATAGAATTTACCTTTATTATTAACAAACAAAGGGTATAGAACTTTCACAATAAAAAAAAAATAATTCAACCATTTGTTTTTTCTAGCTCCTGAGAACCTTACAGAACCAATAATCAATAAATATGCAGAACCAATAAATATGCCCTAACAGAATACAGAATCAATAAATATGCAGAACCTTACCGTAGATTGACCTTCCACCTCTTCCAATGCTCAAGTCCTCATTAAGAGCAAGTCGAATTTCTGGGTTACCGGTAAGATAGCTCTTCATTTGAATGGTACCATCAATCTCTGAAGTAAGTATATAACCCTGTAGTCAACATAAAATGATTCATTATGAAAACATCGACCCAAAAAATATATATACATTTAGCATGAGTTATAGTTGTTAGATAATTTCCCTTATCCTAATATGATGAGATGCTTGCCAATTGTAGAATTATAAGCTAAAAGCATGATACCATCTAACAAGATGCATCAAAGAAGATTGTAGTCACCAAATTCAAGTTAAGGAATATCAATTCTCAGAAGTTGTCTTCTCTCTCATTTTCTCCAAACATGTAGTTCTCATCTCATCAATGAATGAGTAAAACAATAAGGCTCACAAAACATTTCTATTAGTTCAGAAAGTTTACAATGAAATCATGGAATTCTTGAATTCTCCCAATGCGTTTCTATCGACTCCCACACCTAAGTTTTAAAAAGTAATAATAGTCTGCCTCAATCACTGACACCTTGTGCTGACAACTGCTCTATCAAGGTAAACTAACCAACTACTGACTTACTCCTCCATGCAAACCAAATCATTTAAGTCCAAGCAGGGGCCACCAAAGATGTACTCAGTTATTATGAAGGGTGTATCTTTTATTCACCCAAAAATTTGGAGAAGGCAATGAATAGTCGAGAAAAATGAAGGATTGTCTTTCTAATATTTACTTTGTACATGAGATAGAGAAAACCACATGAAAAAAGTCTCCTTGCTCATTCCAATTCCAGAAGTCAAAACTAAGCAGGCATCAAAAGCTGATGCATAAAAAATTTTAAATACCAGTCAACAGCTCCGCGTTATGCACATTAAAAAATTTCATGTGAATTCTCTGATAAATTTAACCGAATTGAAGATAACAAAGAAGAATGACTGGAGATGTACAGAAATAACAAAAAAAATACTCACACTTGAGCTGAATGTAACACTAATCTTCTCGATTATGTCAACAAAAATCTCCTCTCTATTTCTACCTCCAGGCTCATTTCCAACCACAGACTTGGTGACAGCCGTACCTGGCATCCGTTTGCTCCCTTGCTTCAAGAGACAAGTAAAGAAAGTCCACTCAAGAAACATTTAAAGCATAAAATTTGAAAAGGATTGTTGCATTGTAAAGGAAATACCACAAAAATGGAAGCCGGACCAAGGGGAGGCAAACGTGCAGCATCAACCACAATTGGCTCATTAAATACATATGACTTCAGAACCTCAGTTGATGTTGTTTGTACATAACCAAAATCCTAATTCCAATTGAAAACCATATAACAGATCATGAGGCTTTTAAAAGAAAAACTTAACCACTAGGCTTAAAATATATGATTTGCGGCACAATAAGGTAGAGCAAATCGAGCAGTTGATTCATTAAATCCTGAAAAGGGATAGGGAAAGAATAACAAACTTACAATAACTTCATCCAGCAACTCATACACAAGAACAAAGTTTTTCCTGAGGGAATCTTCATTGAGAACCCCAAGGTAATCTTTGATAACACGTGCAATTCTTTGAAGAAGTTCAAGAACAAGAGAAGGTGATGCATTAATCCTTGTTGTCGCAACAAATAAGAGTCCTACAACCTTCACGTGAAAGTAGTTTACGCCATCCAAATTCTGCAGCCAAGGGAAAATGACACCAAAAGAAATGTAAAAATTAAAATATATGAGAAAGAAACCATATGATCAAAATCTCTCGTTGAGAAGAGAAATCAAAAAATGACACCGATTAACACATAATCCAATATTGTCATGCATAAAACTATTGCGTTTGTTATAACAATTATTTCAGCATACATTGCACTCATTTTCCTATTCCGACACACAAAGCCTGTGTCCTGCACAAGCTGATGGAATGCAGGAAAGATGAAAAGATATCATACTTTTGAAATCGCCATAAACAGTAGGTAAAGGACATTACTGCATATTAAAAGAAAAAAAATCCTAAAATGGTATCAAAGAATCATTTTAGCATAAATCGTAATTAATGCCTCATCTGAGAGACACGGCGAATAGCCTATAACAAAACCTGGTGGAATGCAGGGAACAAATGCACGAAGATACCGTAGATTGCATACTAACTACGATGCAGAAAGTAGGGAACACGACTGCCTATTGAAGAACTCATAAAAATAAGTCTAAAAATCGCTTTTAATTTGGATCTGCAGTCGAAATTCTAACAATCCAGTGAGCATGCAGAAGACAATATGCCAGTAGACTACCACGCAGTCAACACATGAAAATACCTACAAAGACAGGCGGCGCATCTCCTTCTCCGTCTTCCTTCCAGAATTTTACTTTTCGGAAAAAGATCTCAGCACTTCCTTTCGGTACTTCGCCACGATCTGCATACATTTAACAATAACCACGACATATGGAAGAATTTTATTCGTCGTATCAAATTGGAGACTAATTTCATGCTCATAAGCTGAAGTAGCACTAATTTCCGATTGCTACGACAGTTCAATACAGCAAATTACAAGTTTTATGTTTCCTAAGCCGTCACGCCATTCTGATTCAGAATAGATTACGTGAAAGAAAACAGTACGAAAATTGAAACGAGAACCGATGCAATTCAGAGAACGGAAAGGGAAGACAACAAAAACACATCAGATCTGGAAAGAAAATTACAATCTCGGAATACAATGTTGTCGCCTCTCTGCGAGAGCACGAAGAACTGCGAAATCATTGCCAGACCTGAGCAACCGTATCAAGCTTATAAAAATCAGTATCGTCTCCGATTAGCAGACACAACAGCGCGCGAAGGAACTCAATCGGATGGGAGACTCCCCAAAGAACTCCCTCGGTAAGAAAGTAAACTCAGACCTGCTAGCTGTTTGCCACGTCGGTATACATCACGAGACAATCACGTGAGTGAAAACACAAAATTGGGCTGACAATTTTAAGCCCCATCTTCCTGGCCCATTTTGAACCGTGAGCCCGTGAACTGAACCGTTGGTAGAAGTACAACCCCCAAACTTACCATGGAAAGTTTGCCAAAACGGTGCCGTTTATATTTAAAATAATAATATTGCAATATAATACTCAAATCTACCGCCCCACTAGAAGAAAAAAAATATATATATATTTGACTATTTTGGACCTTTTTAGCATCCTACAACCCAATGAGAAAGGGATATCATGTAGGGTCTTTTTTTTTTTTTTTTAATTAATAATAAATAAATTTTAAATTATTGATTGAAAATGGGAATGTCAAACTCCTTTTGAACCAAAAATAAAACAAGTTGCAAAGCAAATTTTGGATTCCGGGGAACAAATCTTGAAAGCATATAAATTTAAAATACACGTCGGTTAGAGAATAACAAAATATTTTTTTTTATAAGAGCGTAGAAATTTATCTTGAGTTGAAACGGTTACAAATAATATCAAAACTAGACATCAACGGGTGTGCTAGCGTCAAAGTTAGGTGTCGAAGAGAGATGGGATGGTGAGATTGTTGGTTGGACGGCACAGTGACCGACTTTTGCAAAAGCATGAGGTGAGAGCACATTCTTGGAAGTGTACCTCGGTGGATATTTTGCTTCCTTTCTAAGGTACTGTACGTTTTGACCCACATGGACGCCCAGCTTTCTTTTTGCCATAGCTGGGCTTGGGCTTGCAAAATGCATGGGTGAATTCCACTGGTTTCTTTTTTTAAAAAATGTAATATTTAATTATATTAATCTATATTTAGATGGATTATCATGTTACCCATTCATTTTTTGGATTCTAAATTTAAAAAAAAAAAAGGAAAAAAAAAGTAAAATAAGTGAATGACACGTGTATGGTGCAAGAGGGAGGAGAGTAGAGTACTAAGAATAACAGAGCCATCGGGTGGAAGGTGACGAGTTAAGTGAAAAACAACAAAGCAGAAGAGAACAAGGCCAAATCGTCGAGGAATATCGGCGGGCCACCCAACTCTCCTTAGTTGTTAAATTATTTTTTACTTCAACGGGGTTAATTTTAAGCAGTAAAAGAAGAATATACTTTTTTACAGCTACAAATAAGATCCTCGTTAATTAACTCAAATATCTGCGTCCTTCTCAATCCCTTTGCACGGTCTCTAAAAATTACAATTCCACCGGCAGCTTCCACCCTTGGGATTGCTACCATGCCAAATTCAATCTGCACCTCCTTTACGTGATTGATTTTAGTGTTTTCACTGACGCTCTGGGTGTGACTCTAATATCATTTACAACAGTTCAATCAAGCTCGGATAATGTTGATACTCAACATAAGCAAAAAGAGGAGGGGTGAGGTATGTAGGGAGATTTGTCGAGTTGTTTATGGCAGTGGAGAGTGGAGAGTGATTAAGGTTGGGTCAGTGTCCCATAAGAGAAACAAGTTTTAAAGCCTGTGACCCCTTTGCCTTGTCCTCTACCACTATCTTTTTAGCTTTTATATACAACAAATGCATACTTGTTACCCACATTTGGTGATATAGATAGTGGGGAAACCCCCTCTTTTTTAAGAGTTGTTGCAGTGATTCAATAATCAAATTTGAAGAAAAGATGCAACCACCACCTAAACTTTCAGCATCCCATTGCAATAATTGAGGCAAGGTTTGTGTGTTTTGGAAACCCATATTAAATGTATGAAGAAATGTATGTAAAACCCTTTATTATTTGTTTTTTTATACCACTTCAGAATTGTGTCTAAATCAAGAAAGATATGGGTTTTCCTTTTACCTCTTAGGGCTAAAATTTTAATGCAATAATGCTCTTCATCCATATGCACTTTCAAAACTTTGCTCCTTTCATTTTCTCTCCCCAAAAATGGATGAATAACACAGCCTCTGGTACTCTTTTATTGTCCATCAACCTTTAAGCTTAGGACCCATTTGTTGCTAAGCGGCACCAAAGACATCAAAGTTTGATGGGAGGGAGTGCAAGTTGGTGAATGCCGAAAGCTATTGCATTCCTCTTTTCCCTCTTTTCATCTTTTTAGGGTTTTGTTGTTTATGTGGTGAAGCCTATGCCTACTTCCAAGTTTCACAAAAATTGAATTCTTTCGATTCCTAAAATGATGTTTCCGTGACGCACCCAATATTCATTAGTTTTACAACACTCCAGATATTGTCCGCTTTTGCTCGTTATATATCGTCGTCATCCTCACATTAACAGTCCATGTCTTTCTCTAGTTGATATTGTTTGTTTTAGCCCGTTATGTATCGTCATTAGCCTCACGAGTTTAAAATGCGTCTATTATTCTCTCCAACGGACCGAAATCACACACTTTTAGCTTACTATTTTGAGATGGTTTCTTATGCAAGTGAATGGGAAATAAATGAATAAATGCACTAATAAGTTAAAAGGAATTAGGTCTTTCGTCCAAATCAAAAAGCATTAAAGACATCAACCTTGTTTAGTGATATTGTTTTGGTGTTTTGATGTTTAGCTTTTGCTCTTTTATTGAATCATGGCTAGTCATTTTACACGTTCTTTTTATTTTCCCTCACTATGATTTGTTCCCATTTTAAGCTCCTAATGAGATTAATTACACCACCATTAATATTTTTGGCCTTTTTGCGATTTTAAGTGTAAAAATATGTAATCCCAAACCAGCCAAGAAAAGATTTTAGGTACCGAACGTTCTATTAATAATGAAAACGATTTGTCAACCTAAGCAATAGTCTGATATTGATGTTATTGGTAGTTAGATGTTTTATTTTTTCTTATAGATTGAATGGTTAGAATGTTTGTAATAGTCGAACTATACAGCGCTAGTAGATATTATCATCATTTTTTATCTTTCTTATAAATTAGGTAATAATTTCTTTATATAATAATGAAATCAATTGAAAGTAATGAAGAATTTTATTTATCAAAATTTAGAATTTGAATTCATAAAATTATTAGTTTAAAATTTCTAATCAAACACTAAAATAGAAAACTTTTAAATTCTTGGATTATATTTTAATGTTAATTGTGGAAGATTTGGACACGTGTCAAATATTTGCCTTCCAAGTTTAATGCCCGAAGATTTTCAAAAAATAAAAAATAAACAACGCCATAATTGAAGTAGCGGAATGTGATAGGCTGAGGCGGACTAACTGTTAAGGACAAAAGTGGAATTTAGTTTAAAAAGACGATAGTACCCTTCAACCATTCCCTCGCCCTGCTTTTGGGTGCCACGTGTCGGCATCGCAACTAAAGAGCAATCAGGCTCCCGGCGTAAAGTTTTCGGGCTCGCCGGTGCGGTAAAAACCGAAACTATAATTTACCCATAACTTAAATAATTTTTTATTTAAAAAAATAATGTCAATAATTATATTTAAAAAATTAAAATCATGGTATCTTTATGTTTTAACGTCTGGGATGAGGACAATTAACTCAATAAAGTAGAATATTCGAACAAAATATAGATTGGAAGGCTAAAATTTATAGTTTAAAATGCATGGCATCAACTTGCGCATCAAATTATTATTATTATTATTATTATTATTAATTATTGAAGTAGTTAAAATGTTTTAAATAAATTATAATATTTTATAAATTAAATAGACAAAAATGGTAATATTTTTAATTTTATTGATGGATTGAGGTAGAAAGCGAGTGGGGTGCACCCCCAGCTGGAATTGGACGGTTGTGAGCGATCCATCTGTACTACTCTTGCTTCGATTCCGATGCCCCCTCTCACTTTCACCTTTTCATTTCCACCCTTCATTTTTCCTTTCCTTCTCTTTTCCACCCCTTCATTATTCTATATATTGCCTTCTCGCCACTCTCAAAATCCCTTCCCTTCTTCCTTCTCCCCTCTCCTCCCTCCATCTCTCCGCCGTCTCCCGTACTCTCTCTCTCCCTCTCCCTCTCCCTCTCCGCCGTCCCCGAGAGATTTAATCTGTTCCATATCTCTTAATATAGATGCTAGAAACCGTGTCGTTAACGCTTGAGATTGATGTCTCCGGTTCTCAGTGAAATCCTCCGTTCCGGTTTCACCATAAGCTCGTCTCTCCGCCGGCGCACCCACTTAGTTCAGTCTTTCTCCGTTGTATTCCTCCACTGGTTCTACGTCTTCTCATGAACCGTTTCCCCTCACTCCCACTCTAATATATATATATATATATATTCCCTCAAAAAAAAAAAAAAAAAATCAAAATCTCCCTGAATTTCGCTTCTGGGTCTATCAACTGTAAATATAGAACACCCCCCCCTCTCTCTCTCTCTCTCTCTCTCTCTCTCTCTCTCTCTATATATATATATATATATATATATATATATATATATATAATAGTTATTTATATTATGGGGTGTTGTAGTGGGAATTCTTCAGGTTCGATATCTCAGATTGGGGTTCAGAACCAGAGCTCTGGTTCGGAAGAGGAGCTGAGGCAATTGATGGACCAAAGAAAAAGAAGGAGAATGCAATCGAACCGGGAATCGGCGCGGCGGTCGAGGATGCGAAAACAGCAGCACTTGGACGGGCTGATGGCGCAGGTGGGCCAATTGAGGGAAAATAAAAGCCAAATGATTTCCAGAATTAATCTCACAAACCATCTTTTTCTCAACGTTGAAGCTGAAAACTCTGTTTTGAGAGCTCAGATTCTGGAACTTACTCATAGATTAGACTCCCTAAACCGGATCTTATCTCACATCAACAACAACGACAACGACAACGACAACGACAAAGATGAAGAACAACATATTTTTCTTCAAAACTTTGATGATTATGATTATAATTATGATTTTGATTTTGATTTTGATCGTAACCCATCATTCCTCAACTCGTTTCTAAGCCAGCAACCCCCCATTGTGGCTTCTGCTGATCATCACGTGCTTCACTGCTGAACTCATCATTGATTTAGGGAAGGGTTTTAGTTTAATCCTAATCTAATCTCGTTTGCGCTCTGTGTTGGTGGATGGGATTAGATCGGTTAATCAGGAATTAAAATTGTAATATATTTATATATATATATATATAGATATTAGTTTTGTTATTAATATGATCGTGACGCTGGTGGAAGAAAATCAATATGATTGAAGAACACATTTTGAAAGTTGGGGAAAAGCAACCAAAAAAAGCGTAAACTGGTTTCTTGGATTTTGTTTCCATTGGGGAATGGGTCGTTTTCAGTATGATGTAATGGGGCTTTTGATGCATTTCAAGGCCCCCCCCCCCCCTCCTCCTTTGTTATTATAATACTCATCATATAATATAATAAATATTTCCTTTTTCTCTCCTTTTCCCTACGGCATGGAAAATATAATTATTTTAGTCCTATCATTTCTTTTCAATTTTATAATATTTTAAATGGTTTGATTTAATTATGGACCTAATCTTAATTAAGATATGATTAAAATAATAAGATGAAGATAAGAGAACGAAGCTTTGTGTCTTTCGGTCACTCACTTTATTCGCAAATACTCTTATCATAACCAATACTTATAAAATTATAAAAAAAAAAAAACTATATTAATTTTAAAAACGAGTCAGAAGAATTTATAAAGACATCTACTTTTATAATATTTGATTATATTCAAATACGTACACTGGACAAATACATTAAATATTGCAATGGTTCGATGTATTTGGACTTACTTCATTTTATTAGTACAACCGAGAAAACCATAAATTATTCTAATTGATAATATTAATCTGGATACCCCCCAAAAAATAGAGATTTTCATTCGGAGAACTCGAGAAAAAAGGGTAAACATAAATTATTTCGATATAGATATTATGTTTTTAAAAAGAGGAGTTGATATAAATAGTATCTTAACATAGCAGAGGAAAAATTTACTAGGCAATGCTCGGAGAGGCAAGTTGTCAAGAGAACGAGCAAAATCCTATTAAAAAAAATTTTAGTTCAACAACGGATGAAATACTCGAGCTTCTAACATTGTAGAAAAGACATCATAATTTTTTTTTTTTTTACTAGCAACAGGATCTTTTGATTCTATTCTAGGGTAAACAAATTATTTTATGATCTTTTTTTATATAATAAAATGAAAAAAGTTTATAGATGTTGTCCACTTTGACCCGATATGTATAGCAATTTTTAAAAATGCATCAGTTAGGTGACTTGGTTTTGATATCATTTGTAATGACCTAAGCTCACCGCTAATAGAGATTTCCACATATTTATAAAACGATTTCCTTATACCGAGGTGAATTCTCGCGGTTAATAATACAAATAAATGGGAGTAAAGTACACTCTACATAAAGCAAAAGCACTATTAAGAAAGAGTATAATAATGGGAAATCCATGAACTACCCTTACGTCTCACATGGCAGCAGTAACCAAACACAAACAAAACCTTAAATAAATATTTGAAACATTAAGGTTTGTCCTATCTGATTCGCATATTTCCACGTTCTTCTATGACCATCACTGCCCATTACCACACACATTAATTTGTGTGTGTCTCCCTCTTAAAATTTATTTTATTCACATCAAATCAAATCAATCTTTTTTTTTTTTTTTTTTTTTGTGGTATAACATCATTCGTTAATGGTCGATTATTGAAACAATAGTACAATAATAATTATAATTAACCAGAAGTATTGCAAATAGATTTGATGAAATTTAGAAATAATAATTCATCTTCGAATTAATAAAGTAAATGTTTTTACTGAGATCTACTCTGCTGTCAATTTTAATGAAACTACAAGAAGCAATAAATGAAAAGTGAAAGGATAAACCATCAAACTTTTCTCCTTATTATCTTTTTTTAGAGATTTAGTTTTGTGGATCTCACAATCCATTACATCCTCGTTAACGTTAACGTATCGCCTAGTGACTAGCTGTAATACTATTTGTAACTTGTAACGTCTCGGCTACTGCTAATAGATATTATCCATTCTAATCCATTACGTATTGTCGTCAACCTTAAGATTTTAAAACGTCTCTATTAATGAGAGATTTCCATACTTTAAAATGATTGTTTTGTTTCCCTCTCTAACCAATTTCTAAGGTGGAATCTGTTAAGGTAAGTAGAAATCTACAAATACTTGTACATCTTCCATTTATTAAAATAGAAAATTTTATTAGGATCTATTAATTAGTGTAGCCTGCAGTTAAAAATAAAAATGTCACCAACTTATATGCAGAAACTTGCAACTAAAGAAGTAACCCATTAACATATAGCATGTATTGATTAAGGTTTAATATCTTTCCAATTTTTGTAACATATTCTGTCATTTTACTCTTTATGAGCTTAGTGGAGCCTTGCATTATAAATGAATGGCTTTATTCGGCAAAAAGAGGGCTCATTAGGCCATGAGAGAGAGAGAGAGAGAAAGAGATGGTGAGCCATACAATGACTTCAAATATTGGTTGAACCCAAAAATTTACTCAACCCCCCAATGGTTTCTATATATAAATGTTCTAATTATGGCTCAGATTCTGGTCCTGCATAAGGGTAGATGCCGACCCAACCCAATCCATTTTTTTACTCGTGACTTCAGGACAATGACACCTGATAGTGATGCGTGACCCAAAAAATCTGACCAAGTACCAAATAATTTGTAGTGTAAAGGTTTTTTTTTCCATAATCTTGTAATGAGATCCCCGTTAGTTAGTTAGTTAGAGAGTGAAACAAAACATTTCTTAGACAAGTATAGAAATTTCTCTCTAACAGATGCATTTTAAAACTATGAGGTTAACGACAATATGTAACGAGTCAAAACGGACAATATTTAATAATAGTGGGCTTGAATTGTTACAAGATGAGTCCTCCACCATCATTATTTTTCATTTCTTGTCATCTAGGACAGTGTCGAGCTTTATGAGCTACACATTTTTTAAAAAGGCTACTCTTCCACACTAACAAATTGCTTCAACCAAATGCACTCTCAAGATATTTAAAAATCTTCCAAATGTGCATAACAAAAAAACTAAATGGAAATCAGAAAGGATGGAGGATTTACTTACAATTTTCTCTACCACTCCAACCTGATACACAGTGCTCAAGAACTCGCCTCTATCAAACTGAATCAAGGCTTCTACCCAGACCATTGAGTCCTGCCCATTCAAAAAAATTATTTCATTTCTTGTCTTCATATTTAGGTTAAAAGCAGTGCCACCTGCTGCTAACAAAGAATAGAGAGGACTACAGAGTAAATAGCCGAATTCATCCAAACCATCATCACTCGGTGCAAATATTATCCGCTTAGGCCTATCACGTATCACTGTCAGCCTCACAGTTTTGAAATGCGTCTGCTAAGGAGAGGTTTTCACACATTTATAAACAATGCTACGTGGGATCTCACTGGTACACAAATAACATCCCCTCCAATATTTTGAGGATCACTAACCTTGTCAACCTGCCCTTTGACAATTTGTAGTTAGACGCACATAGGAATTAGAGAAGAAACTTGAATTTGTCCACAGAATTACAAACAAGGATCCTTTACATAAGCTACAGGATTTTCTTTAAAATTAGACACCAAACTTCCATGGAGCAAATGAAACCAAAAGGGGACAATGCCAAACAAAACTACAAGGGGCTCCATCTGTCCGTTAAGAATAAGAAACTAAGGATAAATACAGAACACTTTAGACACCAACACCAAAGAGAGGTCTAGAACCTAACTAAGGACCAAACCTCTCCCAATATCTCTCTTTCTCTATTCCACATAATGGCTATAAAGGCAGAGAGTAACATTAGCTAAAAGATTAAGCTACGAGAAAAACAGAAACCCATTGGAAAATCCGTTTTTAGTTTAACGTACTTAAGAGAATTTTATATTTTTAAAAAAAGAACTGTTTATTGTCCCATCTATCTTCTGAAGAATAAAAGAGAGAATAAACTATAAAGAGATTCCAGTAAAGCAAATCCATACAAGCATAGCCAATGACAAAAGGACAAAGAAATCTATAATAAGCACAGATAAAAATCTCAAGTAGTCTTCTCTCTTTCCTTTTATTTTCCTTGTGGTGGGGGGTGGGTAAAGGATCGTATTCCATAAGATTCTCCCCCCCCCCCCCCCCCCCCCCCCCCCCCCCCCCCCCCCCCCCCCCCCCCCCCCCCCCCCCCCCCCCCCCCCCCCCCCCCCCCCCCCCCCCCCCCCCCCCCCCCCCCCCCCCCCCCCCCCCCCCCCCCCCCCCCCCCCCCCCCCCCAATCTTGTTCCAAACCATCAACCTCGGAATCGATGACACTTCCAATTCTGAAAGAACTTTATCCACAGCCTCTATCTGTTGCTCAGCCAGCGGATGGCTGAAATTGATGAAATATCCAATCAGAAAATAGTTTAAGGTGATGAGAAACATCAATTGACTAACCAATCACCCGAGGTCCACCAGTTGAACCAGCAATAATAATTCTGATATCTCCTCTAATGTTGCTCTGAATGCAGCAACCTGTAGGACTTAACCAGAATAACAATACAGCTATCTGGGGATTTTACTACTACTACACTCTTCAGAAAGACAAATGAAAAAAAAAGAGAGATTTATGGTACGGGCAAATTGTGAGATCTCATATCAGTTGGATAGGGGAACAAAACATTTCTTATAAAGGTGTGAAAACCTCTCTCTAGTAGACACGTTTTAAAAACCATGAGGCTGAAGGCAATATGTAACAGGTCAAAACGGACAATATCTGCTAGCAGTGGGTTTGGGTTGTTACAAATGGTATCAAAGCCAGACATTGCAGTGTGTTAACGAAGACGTTGGGCCCCAAAGGGGGTGGATCATGAGATCTCACATCGGTTGGAGGGGGAACGAATCATTCCTTATAAGGGTGTGGAAACCTCTCCCAAAAAGACGCGTTTTTGAAAACTATGGGGTTGACGACAATACGTAACGATCCAAAGCAAACAATATCTGCTAGCGGTAGGCTTGAGTTGTTACACAGATTCAAAACGAAATGCTAGATGAATATGATGTTTATCTTGTGGCTGCAAATCTCACCAGCATAGTTGGTAACTTTTGGATGAAACCAACAGTTTCGGCAAGTAGAAACTCGTTTCCATTTTTCATCTGGAGAGTGTGAAACAAGCATATAAAGTGAACAAAATGAATTAAAAACCACAGTACTTCCAGGAGGATCATAAGTTGGTCTAAAATAAAAGCCAGGCAGAAGATATTATATAGTCAAGAAAGGCTCCATTATTTCATAGATCATGTAACTGTGACATATCAATCACAATATCAGGAAACCACCTAATATGTTGATTAGAAGTAAACAGCATTTGCTGCATACGAACATTAACACCTTCAATAAATTCAGAAAAAGTCCAGCACCTAATTTACTCTCGTTGGTGTATTCTTTAGTCAGACGGCCGGCAAATACAGCGAGCAATTAATCTGCTCAATGCACTTCTGCTTAAATTCTCTAGAAGAAACTTCTTTGAACCTTCAAATTCTCATTGTGGCCTCCTAAATACGTGCGGACTTCTTTAACTAGTCTATGGTCACTCTTTCAAAGACGAGCCAAGTTTCTCTCAACCAATTTATTAAGGTCTATCTTCTAGGAGATTTAAAAAGAAGAAAATTCTCTCAACCAATTTATTAAGGTCTATCTTCTAGGAGATTTAAAAAGAAGAAAATCCTATGATTTTGAGGATCGGAAAACCATCTCTTCTCCTGTTGAGGATTGTTGAGAGATGAGTCACACCTCGGTTAATTAAGGGGGTTGATCATGGGTTTAAAGTAAGAAATACGTCTCCATTGGTATGAGACATTTTAGGAAAACCAAAAGTAAAACCACAAAATCTTATGTTCTACAATTGTATTACTCTAATGCCAACGATGATTCATGAATATGATAACGCTGCAAGATTAAGTCTAGCTGAACGTACCTGAACCCTTCTTGCAGCTGGATCAAAGGTGGTTGCAAACAATCAATCCTCTGCAAAGGACTTCCACTCCAGCCAACCGATTCAAGAGCGTACTCTTCCCAGCATTTGTATACCCATCCTAAAACATCATTGAAGGCACTAATATGTTGGCAACAAGAAGTACCCTCACATACACAAAAGTAGAAAGTAATGAAAATTCATGCTCACATGAATTCGCTTACCAGAGAAACTACTGGTACAGGTACAGCAAGCGTCAGCTTCTGTACTGTTTTCGATGCATCCAGACAGACTCTAATTCCTTCCGGAGAACACCAATCTAGCAAAGGATATGAATTTCAATTCAGACTTACTTTAAACAAATAAGCCAAAGAATGACCTTCTGAACATAGCATATCATACATAACCAGAATATCCTTATCATGAGAAAGTTGGCTGGAACACATATAAGTCCTATGTGAAAATTTAAGATACATTCACTAATAATTACAGACTAGAAACGGAAAGCTCCGGATATTGGAACATTAGGAATGTAAAGGCTCAAAAGGATTTTCCAGCATAAGTTTGATTCCAACCAATAGAAGCTGAAATAGAAAGATGCTCTGATTGTTTAGCTAAACCATCCAAATTCCAAACATCAATATGAAGCATCCTATTTTACGCTAAATCATGTAGGGCAGTTGGAAGAATAAGCATAGATAAAAGAAAACATCGAAATATGCGGCGTAAGAATCCTGGTATCCTAATTGATTCTACAGTTCGAATGGAACAAGAAGAATTAACAATAACAGTACTGTTCAGAGGAGGAAAGGAAGGCTTAAAGAATCATACCTCCCTTCCATTTCGCAGCTTAAACACTCTCAAGGCTGTCCCCATCTTCTTGTACCTTCTTTCTTATTAACCCTACACCATAACTACGATTTAGGCTCTGGTTCAGTGCTCGAGACGCCATCGATAAGCTCGTCAACTTCTTCGGCTCCTCCTACTTCCTGATTGGGCTTTACAAAAGATCCATGGAGAGGGAGATTATCAGAGGACACAACCGTAGGCCTCCGTTGAAAATCTCTTCCGCGTTGGGCCCATAGAGTCGCATAAGGAAAAACTCTTCCCCCCGTCCGCCGTGTGGCGGGAAAGAATGGCCGACGCTTTCGAAAGATATACCGATTAATTTAGACCTCTTGTGGATGTTAGTTCATTAAAATGGGCCTTTAATCTATCCTGACGTCTTGTTTGCTTTCGAAAGAGTTTTCATTAAAAAAATTACCAAATCTTTAAATTAAAGATAACAATAAAATAAAATGCCACCGAGGCTGGCATGAGTTCAAATTTTGTTCTAAATTCACCAAAATTATGAATAATAATAATTTTTTTTAGAAATAAAAATTAATTTTATATCTAATAAATTCAACCTTGTAAAAATTAAATTTGTAGTTTAAGTATTTAGTAAAGATGTAACATCGAACCCCCACAACTTCGATTAATCTAACTTGAATTGTACGCATTCAATTGGATTAGTATTTCAGGTTTGATTTCGAGTTTATAGGACAAAAACCTTAAATTAACCCGACCCAAAACAAAACTTACCAATACATTAAAAATTTAGCATATTTGTGGGTATGTCATAAAGCTACTTCACTAACCTCCAAATTCATCTTTTTATTATTTGGTGAGTTTCTTTTATATTTTTATTGTTGTTACTTTATTTTTTTGATTTTTTTTATATTATTTTATTTAGTCAATTTTTTATATTTTAAATTTGTTTTAATTTGAAAAAAATATGATTTATGATAAGTTATTTAGGGATAAAAAAAATTAATTTTAATAGATTTGAAATTTTAGTTATAAAATTGGCACAAGTAATTTTAAAATTTAATATATTTATTATCTCTATTATACAACATTATTATATCCCAATTTATATATATATATATATATATATATATATATATATATATATATATATATATATTATAATTTAGGGTCCTCCAATTTCATTTAAATATATTTCAATGTCCATTATTTTTATTTTTAGAGGGTTAAACTCATCATTTTTATTAGATTTATGGTTATATTTTAGTGTAACTAATGAGTTGTTTGTAGTTGTCTGGTTGACAAATTTATTTATTTTTAAATAATTATAAATTTATTTGTGTTTCGTCCGGCATGGCAACCTGTCTTCCTCGGAGAATCAAAATGACCTGCCCCAGATGAAAAGGGATCCATCTTTTATTTTTCATTTTCGAGGACGTAAACGAAACGGAAATCTAGCCAAGGTCGCTTACTCTCGATGCTCGCAGTCACACCAACACATCTGAAGAAACAAACGGCGCAAGAACGGCGTCCACCCTACACATTTCTTGTTTCCTCTCTAAGCAAAGAACTAATGTCGAAGAAACTCACTCAATCCTGGTTCGACCCCACGTCCACGCTGTTCAAATTTCAATAATCCTGCCTCCAAATATTAATGAGCCACATGCCCACCAACCTACAATTAATTGGTCTGCTTCAAAATATTATTTTATATTTTTACACTCGTGTAGTCCTGCTTCAAACATTCGTCTCTAAATACTCGACACACACATATGCCACAATAGTTTGCTTAAGCTACATGGTTCATGGGTAACAGAGAGCTGACACTATTGCATGTAATTATTTTCAATAATTCTCGAATAGACGTCATTTTGACAAACGAACGTGAATTTTGAAAAGAGGTTTGATCACCATTAAAGAACCAATAATAAGAAAATCACAGGCTGGAGGACGATGACAGCCCAAGCTGGTCCTTCCTGGAAAGGAAATCATGTGGCATTTAATTTCTATTTTTAAAAATTATCAATGGCTGATGATATTTTGGAAGCAAATAAAAGTAGACTTAAGTACAATTTATCACATTATTAACTTAAAATAATTTTTTGGTGATTAAGTTCCAATTTAGTTTATAAAGTTTAAAATTCAAAATATTTTCTTAATAAATTTGAATATTTATAACCATAGATAATAACATTAGAACAAGTCAATTTCACCTTTTTTTCGTAGCAGTTTTTTATGTTTTGTTTTTGTCATCTTCTTATTTATTTATTTTCTATTATTACCTGCCATTCAACCGTTTTCCGTAACAGTCCATAACAGTCTTGCCACGTAGCTAATAAAATCAAGGCACAAAGGACATTTGATTCCAAAACCGTAAAATGTAAAAATTGGAGGGGCAAAAAGTAAATTTCAAAACTTTGTAATTAATTTGCATGTAAAGAAACAAGGGGAAGTTAATAATTTAACAAATTTAAGGCAGCTGGATTAGAACTTGGGAGTGGGTTATCCAACAAGCGTGACAGTCGGAGGATGAAAAGGCGAAAGGTCGGGGAACTGACCACGTGCAACCGAAGAACCTTGTTCCATTGCACGTGACAATACCAAATTAACATCCTTATATTTTTAATTAAATCTTTAATTTAATATTAATTCAATTTCTGATGATTGATATATATATATATATATTGTTGTCATTTATCTAATAAAAACATAATCATTGGCACATATTTGGCTATTTATTTGACAGGCACATGCTTGGATAACATGTAGCCATGTGTATTAGGTAAGATGTTATATTCAACATTAATTTAAATTTTTGGTTGAATTATGAGATGAACATTAAAGACAAAAATACTAAAATAAGTTTGCATGAAAATAATTAGAAACTAAAATGGTAAATAAAAAATATAATATTTGAAAGAAAAAATAAGTTTATGCACCAAAACGTCAATCCACATTTAATCATTTAAATTAAGTATGGTTTTACCTTTATAAATTAAATAATGAATTTGGTGAGATTTGTCAGTGATCTTCCACTAAATAAGAACAGTCCTTCCGAGCTCTGTTTGGCAGCATCTGCCTTAATTAACAGTTGCTTAATCTAATTAAACAAAATTAAACTATTTTTATTTAATCTGGAAAAAGGCTCAGATGAGATGATGAAACCGATAATGCTACATTGCTACTGCTCATCATTTTCATTTATATTCACACCATAGCGATAGCCAAAGCTTTTTTCAGTTCATAGGTGTGGTTGTGAATTGCTAGTCTGATTATTTGGTGGAACGATCACTTCAGGCTTACGCTCACAACTCAATTATTGAATCTTCTCCTTTTTGTGGATTTCAATTAGTAGCTAAAATAAACCAGTGGAGTAAAGATCAATATTCCGATTCAGCTTCTACAGAGCTTGGAGGTTGAAGAGAAAATCAAGCTCATGGAAGCTTTCTCGGTTTCCAGGTTGCTGTTCTTCATTTTCATAGCTGCATTTGGTGGTTTTCGATCCACACATTGTAGTGTGACTTATGATAGGAAGGCTATCCTCATCAATGGCCAACGGCGAATTCTCATTTCTGGCTCCATTCACTACCCTAGAAGCACTCCTGAAGTATGTAGTTCTTGTATTGTTGAATTTATCGTAGCAATCGTTTGAGAGTTTTACTCACATTTGTTTCTGTGTTTAGATGTGGGAGGATCTTATTCAGAAGGCGAAGGATGGGGGATTGGATGTAATCGATACTTATGTCTTCTGGAATGTTCACGAACCTTCCCCTGGCAATGTACTATCTTAGAAATCATTTATGAATTGAAATTTTGGTGTGATTTGAGCTTAATTTGTTCGATTTCACTTGTCTCAGTATGATTTTGAGGGGAGATACGATCTGGTACGGTTCATAAAGACAGTGCAGAGAGTGGGTCTTTATGTTCATCTTCGCATTGGACCTTATGTTTGTGCAGAGTGGAATTTTGGGTACCCAAAACTTTCCCCCTTACTCGTTAATTGTCAGTTTTTTGGAGTACATGATTGAAATCAGGAGCAGTCTTATTTTCTTTCTCTCTGCTATTTCTCTTCGCGGTAAATAACTCTGACATAGTGTTCATTATTGATTACTCTTGACTACTTTCATTCCGTATTTTATTGTACAGTGGATTTCCCGTATGGTTAAAATTTGTCCCTGGAATCAGCTTTAGAACTGATAATAAGCCTTTCAAGGTTAATTTTTCTCCACTTCTTAGAACTCTGTTAATAGAAATTACTTGGGACTTTCACTAGCAGCTAAGGAAGTTTACAGTCAGTAGTTTTTCTGGTTTCTTGCTCTCCAGATGGCAATGCAAGGGTTCACCCAGAAAATTGTACAAATGATGAAGAATGAAAAGCTATTTGCTTCCCAAGGTGGCCCCATTATCCTTTCCCAGGTAAGGTTGAGAAGCTTGGGAGATTATAATCAATGATATGAATATTGTTTATAAGTGAGTGTAAACTTGTGGGATAAAGTTGTTTGAGAAAAGAACCGACTAAAATTTTCATTTGAATTTTGTTTTCTTAGATTGAAAACGAGTATGGGCCGCAAGGTAGAGCCCTGGGAGCTGCTGGTCATGCATACACTAATTGGGCGGCAAAGATGGCTGTTGGACTGAATACAGGAGTGCCTTGGGTGATGTGCAAGCAAGATGATGCTCCCGATCCTGTGGTAAGCCATCTCTTTTTTGTTTATTGGCGCAGAAATCTATCTTTAAACCTTATTGGAAAATTCTGAGTATATATTCTTCATTTTTCGGTGACAGATAAATTCGTGCAATGGTTTTTATTGTGATTACTTCTCGCCTAATAAGCCTTACAAGCCTACATTATGGACAGAGGCTTGGACTGGCTGGTACATATCTAATATACCAATGGAATTACTATTCTAATCCTTCCATCTTAACAACGTACCCTGTAATGAAAGGTTTACAGAGTTTGGCGGTCCTGTTTATCGTCGACCTGTTGAAGATTTGGCATTTGCAGTGGCTCGATTCATACTAAAGGGTGGCTCACTTTTCAACTACTATATGGTTGGTTGGCTTGCATAACTCAATCCGCTGCTTTTAGGACTTGGGATGCCTGACATAAAACTAAATCCACTTTGTTTGTTTGTGATGAATGAAAGTACCATGGAGGAACCAACTTTGGACGCACTGCTGGAGGCCCATTCATTACAACTAGTTATGACTATGATGCTCCACTCGATGAATATGGTGAGAACACAAAACATTTCATTAAAATGTCTTTCGAGTTGTTGAGAAACTATTTAGCGAATATGTTGGATTCCAATGTGTCTCACAAAAAAATGCAGACAAATAAACTGCAGTTCTATTTCTGTTACTGGCAGACAAAGCTAACTACTTAATTACTTTTAGGTATGATCAGGGAACCAAAATATGGCCATCTGAAGAACCTCCATAGGGCCATTAAGTTATGTGAGCCTGCTTTAGTTTCTTCAGATCCTACTGTTACCTCACTAGGAGCCTATGAGCAGGTTGGCCTTTTTGTTTATTCAATGATTTTCTTCATAAATTGTAATGATGTTTCTGAGCTCAACTGTGGTAATTCCACAGGCTCACGTTTTCACTTCGGGACATGGAAGGTGTGCTGCTTTTCTTTCAAATTTCCATTCAAATTCTGCAGCTACAGTGGTGTTCAACAAGATGCGTTATGTTTTGCCTCCTTGGTCGATAAGCATCCTTCCGGACTGTAAGGGTGTTGTGTTCAACACAGCAACGGTATAGATATATAGTTCATCGTTTGAAATCATCTGGGACTTTAGGACATGTTTTCATGTCCATTTTCCTCCCCTATGTTTTAAAAATTAAGATGGTTCTATGCTCATCAAGGTCGGAGTTCATATTGCACGCACTCAAATGTTGCCAACAGTTTCCAAGTTGTCATGGGAAACCTATAATGAAGACACATTTTCTCTAGGAGGCAGTTCAAGAATGACGTTTTCTGGACTCTTGGAGCAGATAAATGTCACAAGAGATACCAGTGACTATCTTTGGTACACGACAAGGTGAGCCTGGAATTATGTGGTGTTTTCAGCTATTTTGTTTATAATATTATATATAGCATTGTAGAGAATGAAGTGCTCGTGATTGTCCTTAGAAGGAAACACATATAGAAAACTTGTTCATTTAGATTATTGTATGACATCCTTTTGCATTATATTCAGTGTTGGCATCAGTTCATCAGAAGCATTTCTTCGAGGAGGACAAAAGCCCACTTTATCTGTGAAATCAGCTGGCCCTGCTCTCCATGTTTTTATCAATGGACAGTTTTCAGGTCAGCCTTCAACCCTTCAGATTTTGGTCTTCAATTTTAGAAGTAGCGCACCTTTCACTTGCAAAGTCCAACTAAATTACAGTTCAGAGAAGTTGAATTGTAACACATAATACAGGTTCGGCTTTTGGAAGTATGGAGCATCGAGAACTTACATTTACGGGTCCTATCAACTTACGCGCTGGAATGAATAAAATTGCTCTACTAAGCGTAGCAGTCGGCTTACCGGTAAACTCCCTCCCCCTAAATCCACTTTTAAATTTTTAAAGCAAGCATCTATGTTAGATTCCATATCGGTTGGAGAGGTGAACGAAACATTCCTTCGAAGAGTGTGGAAACCTCTCACTAGCAAACGTGTTTTAAAATCGTGAGGCTGATGACAATACATAATGGGCTGGGCTGTTACAAACCGTATCAAAACCAGACATTGGGCAGTGTGCTAGCGAGGACGCTGGATGCCCAAAGGAGGTGGATACAAGATCCCACATCGGTTGGAGAGGGGAACAAAACTTTCCTTAGAAGAGTGTGGAAACCTCTCATCAGCAGACGCGTTTTAAAACCGTGAGGCTGACGACGATACGTAATAAACTAAAACGGATAATATTTGCTAGTGGTGGCTTGGGCTGTTACAAGCTACGTAGAAAGTACTTGTCTTTGCGATGACTATAGTCTTAGGTGTGCTTAGGAGATTAGATTTTTAACCATACTGGACTGATCCTATCCTAAAAAAAAAAAACCCCATAGTGTTCTGATTTAATAAGCTAACTGGTTACTGATTTTCATTTTTGTTGTTAGAATGTCGGGTTTCATTATGAGACATGGCAAACGGGTATCCTCGGTCCAATTTCGATTAGTGGGCTTAATGGGGGAAAGAGAGATTTGACTTGGCAGAAATGGAACTACCAGGTAAAAAGACTGAAATGTATATCATTTGGATGGATATGGTTTCCCTTTCAAATTCAATTGACTCTATCTAATATCCTTTACTGGCAATAGGTAGGCTTAAAAGGAGAGGCAATGAATCTGGTCTCTCCAACCGAAGCTACATCTGTTGATTGGGTAAAAGGATCTCTTGCTTCACAGGGTCTGCGACCATTGACTTGGTACAAGGTAAAATCCCTCATAAAAAGTGGAAAAATATCCAAACTGAATCAGCGACTCAGATGATGGATTTGAGCTGGGACTTGCAGGCTAGTTTCAATGCGCCAGGGGGGAACGAGCCATTAGCGTTGGACTTAAGAAGCATGGGCAAGGGGCAAGCATGGATTAATGGACAGAGTATTGGACGATATTGGATGGCTTATGCAAAAGGTAGCTGTAATAGGTGTAGTTATGCTGGGACATACAGACCTGCCAAATGTGAAGACGGTTGTGGGCAGCCAACCCAACGATGGTACATCACTATCATTAATCAGAAGATTCATTGGTTTCGACAAGCTGATTCCTTACGTTTCATTTATGTTCTTCCAGGTATCACGTTCCTCGATCCTGGTTAAAGCCAACCAACAATGTATTGGTGTTGTTTGAAGAACTTGGTGGTGATGCATCCAAAATATCATTTTTGAGGAGGTCTGTGACTGGTGCTTGTGCGGAGGCAGTTGAACACCATGTTAAAAATGCAAGCTACATCATTGAAAGCAATGGGGAATCAGATTCTTTACACCTGCAATGTAATCCAGGGCATGTCATATCAGCCATAAAATTTGCAAGTTTTGGAACTCCTTCTGGAACTTGTGGAAGTTACCAAAAGGGAATTTGCCACGCACCAGATTCTCATGCCATATTAGAGGAGGTTCTTTCACATCTTCTATCAAATAAGATCAGATTGAAGCTTTGAAGGCTATTTTTAAGACTAACCGTGACAATTTTGAAATATTTCTGCAGAAATGCCTTGGGCGGGAGAGTTGCTTGGTGTCAGCAACCAGAGGTAACTTTGGAGGAGACCCATGTCCTAATGAATTGAAACAATTATTAGTTGAAGTCGATTGTGCCATAGCAGATATCAACGGAGACAGTTCATAAGAAAGCTCACAAGTAAATTTTCACTCCCAGCATCCTTGCTCCTTACCAGATTACTGTTCCATATTGTGAAGCCAAGGAGATTTAACTTACAGGTTTGAAGATAAATTTCATTGATCATATGTTGCATTGCATATTTTATATGATAGATTTGTGCAAGTTATTATTGGTGGAACTCATAAGGCCTGTGAATGAGTTGGATGGAGCTCATTACATTGTTTTATTGAAATATAGTGGTAGGCATTTCCCTCAAAATCCCTGTTTCCTAGGTCTTGTATTAATCAAATGGGATGAGTATAAGTTATAAAGGAGTATCTCAATTGTCATCATATTCATTCTCTTGATGAATTCCTGTTTCAGAGTCTCTCCTCATTTAGACTATTATCGTGAGATCCCACATCGGGAGAGGAGAACAGGAGAACGAAGCATTTCTTATAAAAGTGTGAAAACTTCTCCCTAATAGACGCATTTTAAAACCGTGAGGCTGACAACGATACATAACTGGCCAAAGCTGACAATATTTGCTAAAAATGGGGTTGGGCTGTTACAAATGGTATCAGAGCCAGACACCGACGGTTACCAGTGAGGACACTGGGCCTTCAAGAGGGATGGATTCTGAGATTCCACATAGATTAAGAGAACAAATCTCTTACCATTATTTTCATTAGTGTCTTAGCTGAATCTGTAGCTGCAAGTTGAATGGTTCAAGCATGATATGATTCAATGAAACAAGCAGATAGAGAAACTGCTGATGATGTATTCAGCAACTCATTTTTATTCAACAAAAGAATAGATGTTCATTGATTACATAGCCTCGTAATGGTAAACTGATTGAAAAACAATCCAACACAATAAGAAAAAAATTGTTCAAACTAAAAGCATCAACTAATAGCAACTCACAAAAGTTGCATAAAATTTTCTCTCTTCCAATGAAATCCAAAGAACAGATGAGGGAATCTCCCCAACGTAGAGTTTCCATTAGGCATGCTGTAATACAATCTTCTGCAACTGATCTTTTCTTGCGCCTACAAACCTGTCCACCACCTTCCCATTCTTCAAGAACATGAAGCAAGGGAGTGCACTCACTCCCCATTCCGCCGCAACAGCCTGCAGAAAAGAATTCGTTTGGTTTTACGTCTAAACAATCTCTCAATTAACAGTATCAAAGTTTTGCAAGGCAAGGCTTGAATCAACTTACCATCAATTCATCAACATCGACTTTCAAGAATATGACATTACTAATCTTCTTAGCCAACTCTGCAAAAACTGGAGCCATGGCACGGCACGGACCGCACCATGCGGCAGTGAAGTCCACAACAATCTGCAGAATCAAAATTGTTTAGAAAGAGGAAGACAAACGCTTATAAGGAAGAGGAAGAACAACACGAAACTAATAGATTTCAGATCAAACAGTACCAGTTTATTGGATTGTTTTCCTTTGAGGAGCTGCTGCTTCCATGATCCAACGGTATGGCACGCAATCACTTCGCCCTTTCCCGCCATTATCGATCTTAAAAACAAAAGCAGATAGAATCTTAAGTTTTAAGAGCTTCCTCTCTGTAAGATCGTTGCCAAATGATGAAATTGAATAATACAAACCCGATCGTCTCAATTTATAGTAGTAGAAGTAGTAGAAAAAGAAGACAAGGAAATGAACGTGCAAACAGCAAAACCCCATTTGCGGCGCATATGAAAATCGAACCATCCGGAAGCCTACGAGCGCTCCGCTTTCTCATCTTCAAGAATCTGAACAAATTTCCTTCCAACGCTCGACGATGGGAGTGCGTTTCGACAGATCAAATACAACCAAGGCATAATCGGAAAGAGGAAGAGCATCGAATTTTTGCGGTTTACACAACGCGGTACGCAACTATATATTAAAAATATTCTTATTTTTCTTATAGGTAATATTGTAATATTTTGAAAGAAACAAAATGGGCCGCAAAATTTGATCTTGCGCAAAAAATATTGGGCCTCCAAATATGTACGTCTGGGCTTGGTAATGGGCTTATCAGCCAATAATGGGCCCACTAAAATGGTATTGTTAGAGCGGATTAGAAGAGTTTCGGGTATGCGGAAGAATCTGAATCCACATTTTCTCAAGAATTTTCTCTCTCTACTCTCCCTCTCTCTCTCTCTCTCTCTCTCTCTCTCTCTATATTATCCACAATCTCAATTCGATTTGGCCTCTCCTTAAAACTACCAGATTTTTGTTGATTGGATCATTGGAGAGCGAAAGGGAGGGATGGAAATTAAGTAATATATTTTAATTTTCTGAAGGATTTTGATTTTTGTGAGGCAGAGAGCGCAGAACAGAGTATCCGTACAAGCAAGGAAACCATTTGGTTGTCTATCTGAAACACTTGAACACTGCCAGCACTTCAAATTCAATGGCTCTTCTTCAGCTCATTCCGTCTTCTTCGTGTTCTTCTTCTTCTTCGTCTCTATCCCATAAACCCATTTTAAACCCCAATACCATTTCCTCTACCTTAAGCTCCAGCCCTAGATTCTTTTCTCCGGCTGTAGCCCTTCGCCACCGCCGCCACAAGTCCAATACGCTCAAGTGTTCTGCTTCGTCTTTCCCGGAAAAACATCACACTGGCTCTCCGAAATCTGATGATGTCGTCGAGCTTCCGCTATTTCCTCTTCCTCTTGTTCTCTTCCCTGGAGCTATTCTTCCTTTGCAGATCTTTGAGTTTCGCTACCGGATGATGATGCACACTCTGCTCCAAACCGATCTTCGATTCGGAGTTATTTATACGGATGCTGTTTCCGGAACGACGGATGTTGGATGCGTTGGTGAGGTTGTCAAACATGAGCGACTCGTTGACGATCGATTCTTCCTTATCTGTAAGGGGCAAGAGCGGTTCAGAGTTACTAATCTTGTTCGGACCAAACCGTACCTCGTCGCCGAAGTTACGTGGCTCGAGGACCGCCCGTCCAGCAGTGGAGAAGAGGATTTGGATGCCTTGGCAAACGAGGTGGAATCGTATATGAAGGACGTGATTCGATTGTCGAACCGGCTGAGTGGGAAGCCGGAGAAAGAGGTTCAGGATTTGAGAAGGAATTTATTCCCGACTCCTTTCTCGTTCTTCGTCGGAAGTACTTTCGAAGGTGCGCCGAGAGAGCAGCAGGCGTTGCTCGAATTGGAGGATACGGCGGCGAGGTTGAAAAGGGAGAAGGAGACATTGAGAAACACTCTTAATTACTTGACTGCCGCTTCTGCTGTTAAGGATGTGTTCCCGTCCAACAGTTAAAAAGCAAGTCTCTGAGAAATGTCTGTGGAAACTGGAACGAGATGAAGCTATATTGTTGAAGTACAAGGAAGCAAGTTGAAGGTACTAATGCTTAATTTTGCTTGCCTTTACACGTATTTTATACAAAGGACGGATGTTGTTAAAGCTGTAAATTTTGATATATAATTGAATTCGCTTCATCTGGTGTACCAATGCGTACATATTTGATATAGAAATTGCACATGATCTGAAGGGTTCAGGTGAACTATTTGAGTTCTTGGCTTTCCTTCTTTTGAAGCGTTCACTTGGATGTTTGTTGAGAGGTCTATGGCTCTCAAAGCTAAACATCTCAAAATATTCCCACTAAGATCAGATTCAGATCTTATTCTTCGAATGTATGGAAGGATTTGTTATGCTTGTGATAGCTAAATTAGCCTTCTTTTGTTGGGTAATGTCAGGATGGAGTGAAATATTGCTTTGTGTTGGAATGTTGGATGGTCAAATTTCCCGTATGGTCTGTTTTGTGATGATGGGTATTGTTCTATTAGTTTATTTACATAGCAAACATACTTTTTCAAGCAAGTTCATAAAGAACTTGAATTTGGCATTTGATTGAAGTATATTCTTATTTATGGAGGTCAAGAAAAGGGATGAGTCTGTTTGGTTTGGTAGCTGAATGTCTGAATGTCTATCGTTTTCTTCATCGTACGGTCTGTTGTGTTCATTTTTGGTTATGACCAAATATGAAGCTTCAAGCAAGAAAACATCAACCAAGAGTTGATGATTTATCATGTTTCTATCAGATCAAAATTCATCCGTTTCTAGTTTCATCACTGTTTGGATGTGGGCGTTGTTGTGTGTCCAGCTTTGCTTGAGTTCTTCATGCTTGGAGTTTCAGATTTTATGCTCGTTTATCTGTATTCTGGTATTGAAGATCCTACAAGGTGAGCCATAAAAATGCACCGAGATGTGAATAATTAGCGTTTCTCTATAATGGGGGACCTGGGAGCCTGTAAATGAGCTCACTTGGGCAAGCCAGGCGTCAATTCTAAGTTGTGGAAAACTCTGCCTCTCCCTCTTTTCAAGTTCTTGCTTAAGTTGAACAATGTCATGTACTGTATTGCCCTGTGCAATTCTTCCTCTATCTTGCTGCAGTTGCAGCTTAAGAGTTTTTGAAATGGATATTCAAACCTGCCCTTGAGTTTATACGTGCACTAATCCTCTGAGCTACATGCCCCACATTGTCTCCACTAGATCTGTTCCTCTGAGCCACAAACCCCACCCTGTCTCTATTGGATATGTTCCTTAAGGTACTCTAAAAAATTGTCGGATTTGTGACCCCAATATACATGATGTAGTTTAAACAATGAATAAAGTAGGGTAATTATGACTAGAACGATGGAAATGAGGTCGACGTTTTCATTTATTTCCCACAAGAATTGAACATTTACATGTAAACCCTATCATATAACTTGCTAAGGTGGATCAATTTCTACTGTTTTAACACTATATGCAACTCTCTCCATTTCAGAAAGGAATGACAAGGAACACATTTGCTAATAAATACCAAGCAAAAAAGGATCCAACTGATAGACTTTGTCCAATACAATGTGTTTTGACATATAGTTTTTTAATATTCAATTATTTTCTTAAAGAATTGTGAAGAATGGCTACAGTTTTATCAAATTTATAAAGTTTTATGGAAAAAAATAAATTGTAGAGATTAAATTCTCGTGAAAGTAAATTGGTCAAAGGTAAAATTAAAAACGAAAGTAATTGGTTGACGCCGTAACTTCCAGTCTTATCCGGTAGTTTTTCCCGAAGCGCGTGGACAAAACATGCGGTAAGAAAACTGAATTTCGGGGTGAAAAAATTTCCGATACAGAGTCGGATCAATTTCATTTTCGTACCGCTCAAGTCCAACACGAAGAGGGCGATTCGGGAGATCGAGCTCCATGAAACATTTTTCTCCATATCGCAAAGGCGACTCACAAATCTTTGTCCTCTCCTGCGCCGCCGCTCTGTTAACTTAGCCTTCCAATCATTCAACTGCTTCATTTTTCTCCGGCCGACGGATAATCATGGACGTCGATCCTCGTCACTACGACCACATCGTTAGTTTCATTTCCTCTCAATCTCTGATGACGATATTTATCTAACTTCACTGCTTACTTTCTTATTTTTGTTCTGTTTAGTCGCCATTGCTCGATTACTTTCTCTCTGTCTCTTGGTCAATCTGTGAAGTTTTAGTTGGACCCTAGCTGTTCGTCATGTTTTTTTTCTCTTGATATCGAAAATACATTTTTACTTCATTTCTTCTTACTTGGGAAAGCTTCTATTATAGTCAATTGGATGCTGGTCTGGGGGAATGATGAGGTTATACTAGTGCCCAACGCTTTAGTAATGTGTTGATAACTTGATTATATGGTGGGAAGTGTGCTATTGAGCTCGGACGGCACAAGGTCGGTTGCTTCTATGTCAGAAGTTTATATGTCGGGTTTTTTCGGGTGAAGAATAATATTTAACTTCTAATTCCCCTTTTCCTTTTGCGATCACCCTCTGAAAATTCATTTTAGGTGGATAAGAAATTGATATTAATATTGGTTACTGCATTGGCTTTCCCCAGTTTGATTCTTGTTAAATCGTTTACCTGTTGTAGATTCTATGAATTTCATTCTTTTGACATTTCATGTCAGGCTATCAACGACGGTGATGTTCAGAACATTGTTTTGTCGTATCTTGTTCATAATTGTTATAAAGAAACTGCAGAGTCGTTCACTGCCTCTACTGAGCTTAAACAGCAGACTGATTGTCTTGTTGGCATGGAGAAAAGAAAACGTTGGTGAAATTTCCCTCTCTTGCGCAATATAAGTGTACATCCAATTGCCTGATCCCCTCCCATTAACAATCTGAATGATATGGGTTTAGTCGTTTACCTGTTTATAGGTAGACTCTTCTGGTGTGAGCTGTGATGGCTTATTTTAGAAATCTGTAGTAAGGAATAACAATCTATTTCTTCCAATGTCTTAAGTGACCCTTGAGTTTAGGAACAAATTCACTGCAAGACAATTCAGCCTGGATACTGAATTCTCTCAAACAATCTGAATGATATGCATTTAAAAGTAATAATCTTTGAGCTTAGTGTCGATTTAAATGTGTTTGTGTACACTAAATCTGCTTTTATATTTCCTCAAAATTTGATCTAATTTTTTTAAATCTGAAGGCAACCTTTTGTGTTTTCAGGGATTTATGATTTTGCAGTAGAAGGGAATGCACTTAAGGCCATTGAGTTAACAGAAGAGGTAGCACATGGTTTACTCGAGAAGAATGAGGGCCTGCATTTTGATCTTTTGAGCCTTCATTTTGTTGAACTTGTTTGTTCTAGAAAATGGTGAGCCTCCCACCATCATTGTTATTTTATACGTTAACCTTAATACTCAGTCCCTGATGGTCAGCAGGGTTGGTCTTATAAGAGCTGATAACTTTTGATACTCATTTTTGTTCGTTTACATGGCAGCACAGAGGCCCTGGAATTTGCTCAGGTCAAGCTTGCCCCTTTTGGCAAGTTGCATAAATATGTGGAAAAACTTGAAGTGCGTAACCCTGACCTAGAATGTCCACCATATTTTCTGTCATTTTATTGTCTTTTTTTTTCTTTCTTTCAATCCTTTGTTCATCACGCTGAACCAGCTTACATAAATATGTTGAATAGCTCCAAATACTGATCCTTATGTCATTGTAGGATTCCATGGCCCTGCTTGCTTATGAAGAACCAGAGAAGTCTCCAATGTTTCATCTGCTTAGCATGGATTACCGGCAAAGAGTAGCAGAAAATCTAAATCGAGAAATTCTTGGTTTGTTCCATTTTTCTTTTCATGACTTTATTTTACATTTCCCATAATACTATAAGAGAGTTTCTTCCATGCGTACAGATTTTAAATCTGAACTCTATATTTTGTGTGATCAACTCCTTATTCCTGTTGTCTTGGTTGATACCAGCACATGCAAACTTGCCGAGCTATACAGCAATGGAAAGGCTGATAAAGCAGGCGACTGTAGTTAGGCAGTCCTTAAGCCAAGAGCTGGGCAAGGTAATCTGCTCATTCTAAATTATATGTGCTGGCTTGTTGAAGCTTTGAATTATTTCTGAAATTTTGAATCGGTTCCTTTTAGGTTACGAGTATAGAAAATGGTCATCTGAAGTCATGAGTGTTACTTGCTGCTTGTTTCAATTACTAGATGTTTAATAAAAGATGATTACTCAATACACATCCATGTTAGGAGACATGTTGGTAACTAAACGTTTACATAGCTGTTTATATCTCTGGATTTGCAGGATGGGCCATCACCATTTTCCTTGAGGGATTTTCTGAAAAGCTAATTGAAGGAGTTAACGAGATGCATCCAGCTTCAGATCTCGCTGCCACTTATGGTTGGGGTGTGGTTTGGAAGTTTGATCCTCTCTTCATGTGCTTGAGGTGCCATGTAGGCCAAAAACAGTCATCTGGTCCCCTGAGCAAAAGTGCATGCTGTCTCTGATGTATTGTGATTGTACTTGTACATGCTGTCTCTAGTTTTGCTGCGTGCTCTTTTTTACTCATCTTCTTTCATTTTTCAAAGCTTACAATTGTGAGATATTGGCTCGCATTATTGTGTCTCATAGTCACAGTCCGGTTTTGACAAGGAGGAACATGGGAAGAACTCTGCTTTGTTGTGTTTTGCGATGCCATCAAATGCCAGCTTCGTTTATCATGCATCATCAAATGAGTCGATCGAGTTCTCATTTATTGGATTGTCTAATTTGTAAGTAAGAAAGTGCTGGACCTTTTATTGTAGAAAGCTAGAATTTTAAGAATTTCATTCTTCTAAGATTATGAATGACCCACTGCTCTGAGTTTTAAGTACACACTGGCCGGGACTTCAACTAATTTTCTACTGCTAAAAGCTCATGTTTAATCCCATCTTAGCACATTAGTTTATATGTGGGAGACATGGTCGCCGTTTGTGCCATGCCGCCCCTTCTATCATGCAACCGGCTGGAAAATGGCATTTTTTGAAGCAAGTTAATAGGAGATGTGGTTCGGTTCTGCCCGTAGTAGGTAGATTATTTAATTTAAGTACCTATATCCATAAATGACATGTCATAGACAATGAAAGGGTCAATGCCTCAATAGAGTCTGAATGGATGAATGTTTGAGATGTTTTGTTGTTACAACGACAAGTGAGTTTGTTGTCGATGGCATGACTAAGTTAGCTGTGATGACCGATTACACATCATGTGACTTGGGATGACATCAAGACATGAGCCATGCCAATTGAGAACCAAGATAACAAGACGAGAGAAGAAGTCGAGTTGAATGACTTGGCCTTGGCCCGGTGTTAATTCAAGCATTAAGAAAAATTGTTTGAATAATTGAACCTTCAATTGTTGCTTTAAAAACGTTTTAAAATTAATTTTTCTTAAGAAAAATTATTTTTATTTGACACCAAACAAACATTACACACAATTAAATTTTTACATATATATACACACACAATTGGTCATCCAAGTAAAATAAAATTGGATCCACCAAACGTCTTTGAGAATTGTATTCTGCTTTTCTAAAAATAAAAAAAATAGAAAAGAAATTCCACGAAATAATTTAGGTGGAGGATATGTAGAGAGCAGCTTAACGCCTTTCACACGTGTGAAGATCCCTGAAAGTCGCGACAAAATCGGATTAAGAGATAAAATCCGGTTGCCAAAATCCCTATCATCATGGGCCCCACATTCTCTTCCTGTGGACGCCACGTCGTCTTATCTATTCAACCTTTGACTAGATCTTATTCTCTGCCTTATCATCCAAAACCCCTCCCACCGGAGAAAAAACCAATTAGTCAATTGAATTTTAGTCCTTTGAACTAAGCCTAGAAATTTTAATTGAAAACAATTAATACATGTGGTAAAGATGAAATTTTGCATTTTAGTCCTTCCAGTTATATTATATTATATAGATACCAACAAACCATAATAGTCTGAAAAAAATCACTAAAGTGAGACAAGTCAACGATAACTGATCTGTATTCTTTATTAATTTGAGATTTGAGATTGAACTAAAAAAAATACTAAAAACTCATTAATTTTATGCAAAATACAAAGAATTAAAACACACTATAAACAAAAATACACAAAAACCCAAAAAATCATAAGATTGAAGGTAGCCCTAATTGTGGGTTTGAAGGGTGGTAGAGAAGGAAGAAGAGAAAAAGAAGAATTTGGATATTGTTGGGGCTTAGTGTATGAAATTAAGCAAAGGAAGAAGCCAAGTGTATGATTGAGAGACCACCACAGCGTCCAATTGGTGCCACGATCCCACCGATTCGTCATCCCCAGGTAGTGGACTTCCCGCATATCTGCCCACGTCTCTCCCTCCCCTTTTCTATATATATATTCACTTCTGGCTCAAACCTCTTAGACCATTATTTGCGTTATTCTATGTCTTTCATATGTCTCACCTTCAACAATAACAACAATGGAAACAAAGCCCAGAAAACCCACCACCAACGTCGCTCAAGCCAGCTCCCGCAAGGGCTGCATGAGAGGCAAAGGCGGACCCGACAACGCCTCTTGCACATTCAAAGGCGTCCGCCAGCGGACTTGGGGCAAATGGGTCGCTGAAATTCGCGAGCCAAATCGCGGCGCTCGTCTCTGGCTCGGCACGTTCGACACCGCCCATGAAGCTGCCGTGGCTTACGATGCTGCCGCTCGTAAGCTCTATGGGTCTGATGCTAAGCTCAACCTCCCTCAAACTGCGTCAGAGCCTCAACAGTCTGCACCCACCGCTGCAATGCCGTCGCCCTCTCCACCGGTGGCGGAGATGGAGCCAATCGGAGGGCTATGGGGAAGTGAGGATGTGAATTTTGATGAGTCGATATGGAGAGAGGCGGTGATGTCTTTGGATTTTCCTATGATTGGTGATGATGAAGGGTTTTATTTCGATGGGGTGGGAGGTCGGGACGCTATGCAGTGGTGCATGTGATGCGATTCAATATTATACGTAGATAATCATGTGTGTGTAAATATATATATATATATATACCTTGCTTTTTATAAATAATTATATATAAACACATGCAGTGTTTGAGTGCGTGTGTATACATATAATTAAAACATTGGGTTAGTGATTATTAGGTTATTGTGGGCATGTATGTATGTATGTATGTATGTATGTATATACTACTCTAGAGATGAGTAAAAAAAATAAAAAAGAAAAAACCTTGTTCCTAGGTTTTCATTTGGCTGTTTTTATCCAAAGGGTTATTTTTGGTTGTTATTAAGGTGCATGCATATGAAATGAAATTGAAAAGCTTTTAATGTGTCCGTAAATTTAGGGTATTGTTGTACTGAATGCTGAGTTGAAATTGTTATTAATTCACGCGTAGGCTACCAAATGTCAATTGGTTTGGTGAGTTCATACATTATATGTTGATTATTTGTTGGCTGTTTTGTTATGATACGTGGCTTGTATTGATGTTGGATTTGTAGGACAAAGACGATAGATATTGTGAGAGACAGCTAAATCCCACCCAAGTTGGATATTGTTGAGCTGCTGCTGCTTTTAATGGTGGTCTCAAGTTACGTTACATTTTATATTTTGAGTGCGATACCGAGGGATGAATTACTATCGTAGCGAGCAAAGTCACGAGAGTTTATGCTCAAAGTAGACAATATCATATTCTTATTTGTCATATTATTATTTGTCATGTTGGAATGTCTCCCATCAACCATTCCTACCAAGTTTGATTTTATCTTGTGGTCAGAGAACTTATGCAATAAATGAATAGGTATCTCTTCTCACGTGCAATCGTTATGATTTTGAGCAGATATTGTCTCCGTGTTCTTATTATTGACAATAGTGTGAGGTGATTGTATAAAGATAAGGACATAAATTGTATAAAGAGAGTCTAATCAACGTAATTATAGAATTTACTTGTAATTAATTTACCATAAATTAAGGTGGTCCAATACTCCTGGGCTCTGGGCCGAAACTTTCAATGCCAGAGACCACCACAACTGGGCCCAAAAATCAATGTCATCCAAAGTGGCGGCCCATGTACTGTTATTTTATTCATAAAAAAAAAGGGGGGGCTTTTGCAGCCATTATATAATTATTCCATACGATGCGTTGGATTTCTTTTTCCTTGCTTTCTCGAAACGACATTTCCACTAGAGAGACAGCAACAGATGAGGAGAGCAGGGCCGCCTGTTCTTTTTTCTGTCTCTCCTTTTACCCTTTTCCCCTAACAACTCTAAAGCTTGTTGGATGATGAAAGTCCCACATCGGTTAATTTAGGAAATGGTCATGGGTTTATAATCTAAGAATACACTCTCCATTGGCATTAGGCCTTTTGGGAAGCCCAAAGCAAAGTCATGAGAGCTTAAACTCAAAGTGGACAATATCATACCATTGTGGAGAGTCGTGTTCGTCTAACAAAGCTAAGTAAAAGTATACCTTCCTTCACATTCAAAGCTGACATTTTTGTTAAAAACAAACCTCTTTCGTTAGGATCGCACTACATCTCGATTTCTGTTTAGCCTCACTTCTTCTATTCTGCAATCATAGAAACAATCTAAATATAATCACCAAATTTCTTCCACATTTTGTGGAAAAAAAAAGGGCATTGAAATTGATGACTTGCCGAAGCAACACGGCCATGAGGAACGTAATCGCCGGTACCGAGTTTTGTATCGCCGATGCGAATGTCGGCGACGTGTTCTCCAAACCTAGCAAGTAAAACCCTTGGTTTGCTGTGATTCTGCATTGCATAGAAAAAGATTAATGACGCTTAAAAGATTTGGTTTTTTTTTTTTTTTTTCTTGGACATACCCAACAAGTGCAAGAAGGAAGAATTGGAGCAGAAAATTGAGATTAAAGGGAGGCCGCTCCTTCCTGATTAAAAGGAGAAAAGAAAGCAATCAAATTTAAGATATAAAATAATGTGATTAGTGAAAGGGATTTTTTAATGTACTTTTCAATGAAATATGCGAAGGGAAGGAGGATGAGAAAGGCAATGATGTTCCTGTAAACAAGGAACACGAGTTTAGTAATGCCCATATTAAGGGCTGCCCTTGAGACAACGTGGAAGCCGGCGTAGCCAAATTGCAAGGCCAACATGGCGCCATGCAGTTGAAGCTTCTCGGGAATTGAGCACCACCTTGTTCTACTCCCAGAAGAAGGGTCTGAGCTTCCATCGGCCATTGTTGTTGTGATTATTAAGAGATTTATAAGGAGGAGGAGAAGAAAAGAGGGTTGTTCTTGGGTGTATTGTTGTGAAGAGATTGGAGGTATAAATATAGAATTGGAAGGGGAAAAGAAAGTCGTGTCATGTGATGTCTTACATGGGTTGGGAGGAGAACAAAACACTATTTATAAAAGTGTGAAAACCTTCTGTTAAGGATATTTAATAATAAATTATTGTTTACCATATATATTATATTTGATATTTTATTATAAGGCAAATATTAGATATTTGCCTTATTATAGTATCTTTCTATTTATTTTATTTCCATTTATTACTATTTCCATATCCTTGTAATTCATTTGATTATAAATAAGATAACTTTCACACCATTTAGGTGTGGTGGATTAATCAAACATTCACATGGTATCAGAGCCCTCTCGGTTTAACAACCCCGATCCTTTCTTTTCAATGGCTTTTGAATTCTCTAATCTTCTTCTCCACCACCCCTGCTGGTTTTGACGCTGCAGGGGCAGTCTTCATGGCTGCCGTAGTCGGAGCCGATTGATTACTCTTCGGCTCCACCCTATTGACCTCCAAATCACCTTTCGTCATACTCTGTACATACAACCTCACCTTTCCAATCAAATTGGTTTTACCCTTGACCAATATAGTCTCTCTCATTTTCTTCCCAATTCATCCTTCACATAAACCCTAACCTAAACCTATCAACCTTTTGCAGAGATTTACCTTCGGAATCTGGGTGCCGCACTGGCCTATTCGCCAACCAAGTTGCCGCCGCCCTTCCTGCCAAAATTGGCTTCTTCGCCCGATGAGGCGACTCTTCCGACTGCCCTTCTCGCCAAAATTGGCTCCTTCGCCCAATGTGGCGACTCTTCCAGCTTCAACATTTTCTTTGTCCCTTGCTCTAGGTTTCCCCTTCTACTTCTTGGGGTTAGAAATATTCTCACCAGAGCCAAGGCAGCATCGTCGCTAAGCGACAATCCCTCTTCATGGGTTAACATATTCTCGCCGAAGCCAAGGCAGCATCGCCGCTGAGCGGCGATCCCTCTGCAATTTTTGATGACCAAGAATCGGGTTGTTAGCATCTTCATGAAAAGTGTTTCTCAACCTCTTTGAATTTTTCAGATTCAAGCTTCACGTTCGTTTAAATCCGACGCTTAGCTTGCGGTGGGGTGTTAAGGATATTTAATAATAAATTATTGTTTACCATATATATTATATTTGATATTTTATTATAAGGCAAATATTAGATATTTGCCTTATTATAGTATCTTTCTATTTATTTTATTTCCATTTATTACTATTTCCATATCCTTGTAATTCATTTGATTATAAATAAGATAACTTTCACACCATTTAGGTGTGGTGGATTAATCAAACATTCACATTCATTTGATTATAAATAAGATAACTTTCACACCATTTAGGTGTGGTGGATTAATCAAACATTCACACCTTCTCCTAATAAACGTGTTTTAAAGCTTTGAGGGGAAGCCCGAAAGGAAAAACCCAAAGGAAACAATATCTGCTAGCGAATCAAGATCGTTACAAGCATAGTTCATTGTTTATTGTGCAAAACTTACGAAACAAAATGAGTTGCAAAGAGGAGGGTGTTGGGATATCACAAATTGGTGGTTGCTTTGATGGGTCGCATTCAGGTTCTCTGTATGGGTCCCGTTGTCTTAACCAAAGAATCATATGGTTTGATTTGAGTATGAGGTTTGTATGAACTGCCAACTGAGTTTATTATTGGATAATGGTCAAACTTCTCGGCCACAGATCAACTGAACTTTGTGTGTGTGTGTGTGTGTGTGTGGGTGGGTGGGTGGGTACCCTCTATACTCACTTTAATCATTCAATATAAAAAAGCAAGAAGATCTCTATCAAAGGAAATATTTTGATAAGATACATTGTGATTGTAGGGCTGGCCATTTGACGGGAGAAATGATGCTTCAACTGTTCATGGAGTTTCATTGCACAACAAATCCTTTCCCTTCGCATAGATATCAACTCAAAACAAGAATCAGAATCTCCTCAATTGAAACGCACATTGATGCTAAACATACAAGCCATGAGCCCATGTGTTCATCCCTACTCCATCATTTTTTTTGGCTGGATCTTTGAAGCTTCATTTTGTTGGCTGTTTTTGAGTTTTCACTCGCTTGCTCATAAACCCACTTGGGATTATTTTATAGCTTTTGTTTGGAAGACGTGGGATATAAACTTATTCCACCCATCAATCCCCTTAACTTTTTCTTAATCATTTTATTTTTGTGGGTTAGATCACTAAACATTGATTAGTAAGTTGGTTCTCCTTGAGAACTTAATATGAATCAAACTCATAAGTAGAAAAGATCGTACTAACGTAGAGGTGCGTGGTTACTAATATGATATCAGAGTCTTGTTCTTAATTTAGTCATATCAATAGAATCCTCAAGTAAGAGATACAGTACCTTTTGTTCAAGGACTCCAAGAGAAGAAGACTTCAGGGGAGGGAGGAGTAGTCTCATTGTAACAACTCAAGCCCGTCGTTAGCATACATGGTGCTCTTTGAGCCATTTAGCGCTTTTCCTCAAGGCTTTAAAGCATCGTCTGTTAGGGGAGGTTTCCAAACCCTTTTATAAAAAAGGTGTTTCGTTCTCCTTTTCGTGCTTCCTCTCAAGGCTTTAAAACTCATTTGTTAGAGGAGGTTTCCACACCCTTATAAAAGGAGTGTTTAGTTCCCCTCTTCAGACTTTCCCTCAAGCCTTTAAAATGCACTCTTAGGGGAGGTTTCTACACCCTTAAGGGGCGATTCATTCCCCTCTGCAACTGATAGAGATCTCATAATCCCTCCTTGGGGGCCCAACATCTTTGCTCACACATTACCCATATTTGCCTTTGATACCGTTTGTATCGGCTCGAGCTCGTCGTAAATATTGTCTGCTTTGACCAGGTATGTATAGTTTTCAGCCTCACAATTTTAAAAACTTTGTTCCCACTCCGTTCGGGAGTCTAACGTCCTCTCTATCACATCACCAATATTCATTTGTGACAGTCCAAGCTCACCGCTAACAAATATTGTTCGTTTCCACACATGCTTAATTACCATCTCCAACTAACGTAGAATCTACGGAAGGTTACACCCACCCACATTAACTAATTATGGGTAAGGTCACTGAGGAACACCATCTCATTCTCTTTAGTATAGTTATTATATGTTTAGGAATTGCATAGTACGATAAAATCTGTCCCTTTCTTGTTCTAAAAGAACAAACATCGGCCCGAAAGAACTTGGGAAGGAGAAAGATTCATTTCTCTGTCCTTTGAGAAAAAAGTATCATAGCGGCCCATTTCTCATACCATCGATGAGTTCAAAGAGGCCTATTTCTTATCACTTCGTGGACGTCAGTGAGAGCGGCCCAGTTAGCTGAAGCTCGACATCTAATTAATCAACAAACCATGAAAGCAAAGTTCAATGGCAGCAGCCGAGAGTAACTACGAAACAGTGAGGTTCAATAATTGGTGGGTTATTTGGTGGATTATTGGACAAAACAGAAGGCCTAAGCTTAGGGGACAAGCGGCGGAATAACAACAAACTGTGCCTCAATACACTACAGCTAATTCACAATTCACAAGCAGTAAACACACCGCAACTGCCGCCGCTTTTGACTCCACAACCCACCAACGTTAGCTGTGCAACAAACCCCCACGACACTTCACATTCGATCCTTACAAACCCTCTTCTTCTTCCTCTTCTGTTTTATTTTTCACGTGCTCTAATATTAGCTCATTAATTAGCACGTGCACAAACACAGTGTCGCAGGCAGCAGAGTTCAGAAACAAGCATTTTTTTTTTGGAGAGGGTGACCCAATACGTAAGCTAACTGGCCCTGTTTGGTTCTCCCCCGGCAACCCTGGCCGATAAAACTGCGTAAAGCAACTTCGAGTTCCACACCCACAAAATTTGAACTCTTCTCTCTCCCTATTTATTATTTATTTTCCCTTTTTATAGCGCCGCTTCAGCCGCACAAACAGCACTCAAATCCAAAACATTCTCCTTTTTCTACTTTATATGCCTATTGTCATAATTATTCAACTAATTAAGCGAGATTAATTAAAATCATCCTCATATTCATACATTTATGGATTAAATTAAAATAGAATTACCTTAGGTTGGTATACATTCCAATGTCTTAATGTCTTAATCCAACACATTATAGAATCAAGGATTCGTTATTATGAATTGAACGGAATCAGCTCGAACACATTGTTTATGTTCTTGAGGAAGGGAAATTTTGCATACCCGGGGTGAACGTGTTGATCGGGATAGGATATAGTGAAGACTCCACGAATGAGGCGGATGGGTTAACTCTCCCGAAGCTGTTGGACGCTCCGATCACCAGATCCAAGCCTTGCCCGTCGTCATCCCCGCCATGGCTATACGAGCTCTCACCACCGGTGCTTAAATTCTGGCTGGTTTCGGGACCGTGGTCGTAGAGAATGCCTTTGAACATATGGCCACCAATGTTCACAGCTGTTTGATATGCTAATTGCTCTTCTACATTGTCAATGGCACTGACTTTGACACAGCGGAAAACAGCTGGGGAGTTGAATTCAGCTGGAAAATGTGCAAGTTCTAACCCTAATTCACAACCAAAAAAATGGTTTCCCATTGTCATTACATTTGAACATTAAAAGTTAACCTATGATATCAAATTGAAAGTAATGACCTGAGGTGACCGTGGCAGGGGGAATAGAAGGTTGAGTTTCTCGATGGCATTTGTGAGTGGTTTGATCAAACTGATCTGGTCGAAATTGTTGTTGTCGTTGTTGTTGTCGTTCCCGACGCTTGGCAGCCGGAACCCAAGTACTCTTAACATGGGTTTGACACTGAAACCCTCGGCTCTTACAACAAGTCCGACATCTCAAATGGGAGCAGTCTTTCTTAGCTTGATTCCCACAATCTTGGCAATTAATCCCACCTCCACCGCCGCCAGTAGCAGCTCCTTGTCTCATCATCGTAAACTCATGATCAGAGGCGTTGATCATCAAGTTCATCCTACTCGGCCCCACTCCAAAGGAAATGTAATTCTCCACCGCTTGATGCTGCTGCCCATATTGTGGCCATATCTCCAACCCCTTGGAGTAGATCTCCTCGTTGTTTCTACTATTGTACAAAAACAATTGCTGCTCTCTTCCTCTTTGTTCTTGATCATCCTCTTGTTTACCACCTAAATATAACAACCCCGTCATAATTTCACCAACCCAATGTTCCTTACCTTCTCAAATTCCGGCCATGTATACAAAAGGGCCTGCAAATTTTCTAGGGTTTTTGGTTAAATTGTAAAAAAAAAAACTAGGGCAAAAGTGAAAGATAAGGAAGAAAGATAAAGAGGGTACCGGTTTAATTTGTTGGATATGCAATAATGGAGTGGAATTTGGAAGGTGGCCTGCAAAACGCCGTCGTGTTAAGTACAGAGATCGATCGCTCTGATCATTTAAGACAACTAAAACAAAACACTCTCTCTGTCTCTCTTTGTGTTGGGTTTTTAGAGAGAGAGGGGGGAGAGGGATTTAATGTGTCGCTACGCAGTTCACTACTGTAGAAATATTCAGTTCAATGAATCCTATCGACTGTCGATGATTCAAGAATTTCTGCATGGAGAATGGACGGTGGAGGATTGTCCACGTATGAACATCAGCTTTAACCGACCGTCCTTGTTGCGGAAAACCCGCAGATACTTTTCCATCCCATAAATAACACCGTCTTTTTAACCAACTCCTCCAAATAAATAGTACGCGCCTTGTTTTATTTTTTTAATCTTCGGGTGAATTGTTGTCCACGTCAGCATGGATCGTGAACCGTGGAATTCTGTAACTCTAGATCCATGAAACATAGGCAACTGTAAAAACGAGGTCTACTCTATTTGGAAGAAGAACCCCAGAAAAATTACGGGTTTGTATTTGATTTTAAAAGCTATGTTTGGTGGATTTGTTTCTTGAATTATATGTTTTTGAAATAAAACAAAATAATAGGTATAGTTTTAGAGGTTTATTTATTTATTATTATATTTCCATTTTGGGAGGCACATAAAAGATGTTTTTGTTGGGATTAATTAATGATTAAGCGGCGCAACTTGGACATGTGACTTTCAAACCAAGCAATTGCTTATGGATGGAGATTAGTTGGTCAAATCTAACGCCAAGTGTTTGCAAAATTCCCGGGTAATAAGCGCGTTCTGTTTTTTTTTTTTTTTTTTTTCTCCCTTTAATTTAATGCTCTACCACAAAATCTCCCCCACTTTTCATAATAATTGAGAATTAATAATTGCATTATCTAATTAATTAAAAACATAAATAAATAAAAAATAATGGTGTTTAGGGGGGAAAAGGGGACGCAATAACATAAATGAGATAGATTTGATTCTTAAGGCCCAATTAGCTCGTGGGCTTATTATTCCCATGAGTAATGAGCCCGATTCTTGTCATGGCCCAGAGGCCCAGCCTAATTTATTTATAAAAATGAACTTAAATTCCCAAATGAATTATATTCTGGCGGTTAACGACCTGTCGGTAATCTAAAAAAAGGCGGCTTAATTAAAATACTACAACTCAGAAAAACACGAAATATCCAAATAAAAATCTCCGGTCAAGATTCATTCGTGTTAATCCGATCCATGGAATCTCCGTCTGAAATGGAGGCACAAAACAACGACGGCGGGCGGAGACCACCGGTTATTTCGCCGGCGTTGGAGGCGATGCTAAGGAAATTCCACGCGGGGTATTTTCGGATCGGAATGTCTATATGCGGGCAAGCTTTGCTATGGGCGATGCTGGCGGAAGAGAACCACGGTCCGATTCATCGAACGGTTCTCCTTGTTCTGTGGTCCCTCGCTTTCTTTATTCTTTTTCTTCTCTCTTTCCTTTACCTCTTCAGATGCCTCTTTCACTTCCCGTTGGTTCAGTGCGAATTCTTTCATCATGTTGGGGTTAATTACCTATTTGCCCCCTGGATTTCCTGGTTCCTCTTGCTCCAGTCCACGCCCTTTCTGGACACACAAAACTTTGTCTACACGGTTCGTATTTCAGCCCATTAATTATTATTATTGTTATTATAAAATGCATTTCCTAAACAATTAAATTATAAGGTAATCCAAAATTTGTTAATGAAATAATTTTATTCATATTCTCCACAGATTTTGTGGTGGGTTTTTGCAGTCCCAGTTGTGATTCTGGACGTGAAAATCTACGGGCAGTGGTTCACCGAAGGAAGGCGGTTCCTATGCATCGTTGCGAATCCGACAAGCCAGCTGTCGGTAATCGGAAATTTGGTGGGCGCTCAGGCGGCGGCCAAAATGGGATGGAAGGAGAGCGCCCTGTGTTTTTTTTCACTGGGCATTGTTCATTACTTGGTGCTGTTTGTGACACTTTATCAACGATTCTCCGGCGCCAATCGGCTGCCGTCCATGCTCCGGCCGGTGTTCTTTCTTCACATAGCAGCGCCAAGCGTGGCGAGCGTGGCATGGGAATCCATAAACGGGGGTTTTGATATGACGTCAAAAATGCTATTTTTTCTGTCACTGTTTATATTCATGGCACTGGCTTGTAGACCTTTTCTATTCAGGAGAGCAATGAAGAGATTCAATATAGCGTGGTGGGCCTTCTCCTTTCCACTCTCTGCGCTTGCTCTTGCCTCCGTTGAATACCATCGCCACATCCAAACTCTCCCTGCCAAGCTTCTAATGCTTCTTCTTCTTGCCCTTTCGGTTCTCGTCGCCCTCCTCCTCTTCCTCATTACGTTGCTTAACTCCGACCTGCTCTTATTGGACGATGACACCCTTTACAATCTCCCCAGCAACCATTTGGATTCATCTCTTAAAAAAACTCCAACCTCCAAGAGCATCAACTGAATCTGAGCCAAAAACCCATCAAACAAATATCCTAATCAGAGTATAGATAAACCAAATTGAGGTTATCGAGTATATTTAGTCGAACATACATTTATTATAGCCCAAATATGGTTTATGATGGATGATATTTGGTTTTCATTATTATTGTGTATCCTATTTAACTATTTAATATTTTATGTAATTCATTTCAATTTACATAGATAGGTATTTTTTTTTTTTTTTGTGGGCGTGGAATTCAAGAAGGGGGGGTTTTGATTGGACGTGAAAGACGTTTTTATTTATTTGAAATGACATTACTTCGGAGTTCAACAACGTTAAAGGCATTGGTCTACTACTCGTGTTACAGCCGAGCTAGCATAGGTTACGTTGGCTGTGTGTTTGTTCACGGATTTCAACGAACAGAGAGCTAGATTGGATGAAATTATTAAGAACATGTTTGAATTTGAAGCAATGTTTTTTAGAGAGACGGAAAGTAATGGTCCCGACTCCCCATACAAAGTAAACGAAGACATTACGATGTTTATCGTAAAACCTGGTATCACTTTCACCCAATAGGACCCATTCTTTCCATTTCCGGCAATGCCCGATTCATTTCCTCTTCCACTTCTTCCTCTTATTACGATCAATCCTCTCCTGATTTCAAAACCCTAGGCGATCGTTACATCCATGGCGCGAGGGAAGATCCAGATCAAGCGAATCGAGAATCCTACCAACAGGCAGGTCACCTACTCGAAGCGACGCAACGGCCTCTTCAAAAAGGCCAACGAGCTCACCGTGCTCTGCGATGCCAGAGTGTCCATCATCATGTTCTCGAGTACCGGAAAACTCCATGAGTATATCAGCCCTTCCACCTCGTAAGTATCTCTCTCTCTCAAACCCTAATTCCTTCTTTTTCTTTTAATTCATTTCGATCCTTCCAGGACCAAGGAGCTTTTCGATCACTACCAGAAGACTTTAGGCGTCGATCTATGGATCTCTCACTTCCAGGTCTCTGATTTCCCCTACTTCTTATCTCGTGATTCTTGTATACGTCTTATTAATTTCGCTCTGTGCAGAGAATGCAAGAGAATCTGAAGAAGCTCAAAGACGTGAATCGAAATCTCCGCAGACAAATTAGGTATTAATCTACATTTTCTGGAACAGATTTGGTTTTATTTGATGATATGAATCAACTAATAGGCAGAGGATGGGGGAATATATGAATGATCTGAGCTTTGAGGAGCTGCGTTGTTTAGAGCAAGATATGGATAATGCTGTGAGGATCATTAGGGAACGCAAGGTTCGATAGACTAACTTGAATGCTTTAAAATGCATACTTATGAGAGTAAATGATTTGAAACTTTGTTGAACAGTACCGGGTGATATCAAACCAGATTGAAACGCACAAGAAGAAGGTAAGTTCGAATGAACTGGAGTCCTTTTTAGAAACAATGCCTTGTTTTATTCTCTACTTTTTGGTATGCAGTTGAAGAGTGTTGGAGAAATTCACAAGGCTCTTCTCCAGGAGTTTGTAAGTTTGTAATCCTTATCTTCTAAGAACTTCATCTAATTTAATGTTATGTTGAAGATTTGTTTACGTGATTCGGTATAGGACATTGCAACAGGGGAAGAACCACACTATGGGTTGGTAGACAATGAAGGAGTAGGAGGGGACTACGATTCAGTGATGAGATACTCAGGCGGCGGAGGACCTCGCATTTTTGCACTGCGGCTCCACCCCAACCATCCTAATATTCACCACGCCCACCCTTCGGATCTCACTACTTATCCGCTTCTTGAGTAGTCCAATTCCATATGTTAAGGCATTAGCATTTTCACTTTCTTTGCTTTTGGCTCATAATTTGTGGAACCAATCACTGTGTTTCACTAGTGACTGCACAAACTCGTGACAACAACCCATATGGGTTAGCTATCTAAGTCTTCTTTTCCCCCTTTTTCTCATTCTCATTCGTTTTTTTGGCTCGATTCACCGTTAAAGTGGCACGTTTTTGTTGTTCACCGAAGAAAATGGGATTAAATAGTTTAGATTTGTTCCTACTGAGTTTAACCAGGTAGGGTTAATGCTATCTAAGGTTTACTTAGACCTCATATTCAACGGAAATAGTAACCATCTTCGAGGTTTGTGATTCTTAATATAATTAATTTTTTTCGTTTTCATAAATTTTGAATGCAATTGTAACGCTAAGATATGATTGTTTTAATACTAGTGACATAATTTGAAGGATAAATGTGTATATTCTCAAATAAAATAGACTAATACCTTCCGGTGAAGGCCTCAAGGCATGCACAATGAACCATAGTCATTGTAATCTTGGTTACTAACCATCATTATTTTTTTCAATTTTATATAAGATTTGCTATTATTTTAAGCCAACTGATGTTTTTTTTTTCCTTCTATAAAAACATAGAGATTAACCTAGAACAAAGTAAAAAATATCAAAATCGAGTATACTTAAGAAGAATGGGTAAAAAATCAAAATCCATGCTGAGGTTAATTTTGGTAAAAAAAAAAAAAAAAAAAAAAAAAAGAGTAGAGAGTTTCTATCCTTAGAGATATGCTGCAACTAGGGGGTGGGACCGGATATGCGCAGAGGATCGGACGACGGGCAAACAAAGTTGAGAAAACCTCAAGAAGGCAGCAGGTGACGGTCACAGAAAAGAAGGAAGTTCGCACGTGTCGTGTTTGCATCGGGAGTTCACAGAAATTCCGATTTGCCTCGCCGCGTTTGGAGAAACGCCGCTTTCCTTTCTCCCCAAATTTCCTTCTCTAGGGTTTCTCTTAAACCCGCCCGACGCCATATCCTTCGTCTTCCTTCTCTCAACCCTTCTCCCGCACACCCTCGCCGCTACGGTTAGTGTCAACATTACACTCTTTCTATACGGGGACTGGTAAGGAATTATTGCATTACGGAGATGGGAGCACTTGCCCCTATCGCGCCTTGGAGCCCTGAAGATGATATTCTGCTCAAGAACGCCGTCGAGGTAAACTTCTCTCCCTTCTTGTCTCAACTGCGGAGTTAAATCTCTTACGGCTGTTGTATATCGAGTACCATTTTGCTCCTTACTGTTGAACGTTTATTTTCCTTCTCGTATAGTCTGTGTGCGTGCGTGTGTGTGTGTGTGTGTGTGAAACCGTACTGTTCTTGTTGCGGCAAATCTGTGTAAAACTGCGGGGCATTCTCCTTGACAGTATGGTCACTATCACGCCAAGTTAAGATATGTTACTGTTGAAAGTTAAATTAAGATATGTTTGAACTTTCATTTTTAATAACTAGAAAGAATTTAATTACCTTATCTGTCTGAAGTTTTAATTCGACAATGGTTATTTAAGTATGGAACATAGGTCTATTATTTTAAAGCACTCTAAAGGAATCATATATTTTATGTTTTTCATTGTCTCGAGGCAAGGATGTAAAGGATGTAAAAGCAGAAACAGTTAAGGATTTGATTCTTGCACATTGATTCATAAGTGGAGAGCCCTCTTCTTCTTCTTGAGCCACAGTTTAGTAGACCATTATGTGCTTCAGTTATTTTGGAATGCAATTTTATGCCCATTTGGCGTCAAGAAAACTAGTGTGCTGATGCTTTTTGAGATACATTTTAATTTTTTAATCTTCCAGGCGAGTGCTTCCTTGGAGGCCCTTGCCAAAGGTGCTGTGCAGTTTTCTCGAAGATACACAGTAAGAGAATTGCAAGAACGATGGCATTCTTTACTTTATGATCCAATTGTATCTGAAGATGCATCTATGTCCATGATTGATGTTGAGCGTTCTTCTTCCATTCTTCCATCAAAGTTCAACAAGTTTGGGAATTCAAAAGAAAATAAATGTATTGGTGGGAAGAGGAAATCTGGCAGTGTGCGGCATTGCTATTATGCTTTGCGTAAAAGAATTTGCAATGAACCCTTTAATCCTATGGGCCCGAGTTATCTTGTTGGTGATAGTGACTATGTCACTGAAGAGCCTATGTCAGGAAATTGCATCCCTCCAACATCAGATGATTTTGGTCTTCAGAGCTCAGAGCTGGGCACCTTGCCCTGTAATTTTTCCCAAAATGCGATGAATAATGACGATACTGAGCACACTTTTCATTCTGGATGTCAACATACTGTTGAGCATTTTCCTCAGAACCTGGATAATGGACATGAGGGAATTTCTCACGTTATGGTAGATAATCTGCCTTTCGCCAATGAATCTCATGCTAAGGAATTGGCTCCATCAGCTAGCTTTCCAGTCCATAACCTCTTTGAAAATGATTTGGAGGCGGGACCTTCTACGTTTGGGCAACTGAGCACTGATCAGAGAGTGATGGGCTCTGAACCAGAAGACAACGATGTCTTCAATTCTCCTGTTTCTGATTCTGGTGCATCTTTTCATAATGTCGAGTACTCATCTCCTCTTCCTGGCATGCCAATATGGAGAGATGCTTCGTCAGCCTTGCCAATTGATGTTGGCTTTGCAGATAAGGATGTGCCTACAGGAGACTCTTTTGAACTCCCTGATGATGATGGGAACAACAACATTCAAAATGCAAGATTAGCGGGCTATGAGGCTCACTCTAACTCAAAGTTGAAGATTGAAGTGCAGCATGATCATTTGAAAAGTCCAAATGCCACTGCTGAAGGTTGTTATTTAGTGGAACTGTCCAATACTGTTTTGAACACGAGCAATGAGGATGAACTGTTTTTCATGGATGTTGATGGGCTGTCACTTTTGTTGAGTTCACCAAATGAAGTCAATCACGATCAAACAGGCAATGCAATTTATTCAGAAACAGTGTTACCAACGGATACAATGTTAGATCCCCCCTCTGCATGTTCTGGAGAGTTGTATGAAAAGGGATCCCACTGTAGCGATGGACATTTGGATTGTAGTTCAGAAGCTCATCCATCACCATCTACATCTTTGAACAGTCAATGTCCTGGAAAAATTGATGAACCTCTTTTCTGTACTTTGAACACAGAAGATCCAGAAATCCCTAGCAATGACGATGTTTTTCTACCTCCATTGTCAACAATTGCTACTATGGGATACCATTTTAATGATTGCATGGGTCCTACTTTTTCATCTACTAGTGATTTCTCTTGTAAAGAAAACTCTGGTGAAATGACTCAAAACCTTGTGCAAAGGGAGAGGAAAAATCATGATGGACAACCTCATGTTTCAACCATATCAATGGGATTGCATTGTTTGCCTGAAAGAGGTGAAAAACATCTGATTAGTGGAGATGGTGTTAATTTAAAATTATCCCATAGCAACTCCATACACGTGCCATCTGCAAATAAAACCAGCTCCATAAATGTAAATGACGATACCATCCTACCTGTCACTCTCATGGAAGAGAACAATGAAATTTCCCTGGTAAATCATCTTGGCCAAAATTTTAATACTCATTTAGAGAAGTCTGGCTTTGATTCTGACAATGTTAGAAGATATCCATAAAGTGCTACTTGTGGCATTTCAGGAACCAAATACATCGACTTCAGTGAAAGATCATCGATTATCACGAGAAGTGGGTGTTCAAGGTGTTTTCGGTGTAGAACAAGATGGAATGTATTCGACATCTGATCATGAAGAGTTATTTATTGATAGTGAAGATGATTTACCTCATTTTTCAGATATTGAGGCTATGGTAAGATTTTTATGATAAATAGTGAGTGTAAGATGGTTCGGTATCTATGGCTCGATAAGTCTGTTATAACATCTTTAATTTATTTCTTTCAGATACTTGATATGGACTTGGATCCAGAAGATCAAGATCTGTATCCAAATGAAGAAGGTAACGTATAGATGTCTATTAGTTTTTAAATTGTTAATTTTCATCAACGTAATTTCTGTTTAAATCAGTTTTTAAATATGTTGCTGTCTTGCTAACTGCATATCCTATTTTCCTTATCGTGTGAGGATGAACTAACAATAGATTATTATTTACCTCTGTGTTGGCGTGTGTTATGTTTAATTTGCTTTCATGGGACTTTAGAAGGTTTGATATCATAGTATAGGTTTGAAACACTTTTGTTTTAAATCATTTATATTAGAAAGTTGAAATCAAAGTGATCCTTAGTTCTATTTCTGGTTTAAAGTTTTCCAAATTGAAATCTTTAGATTTTGCACAGTTCGAGTGTGAATTACGTGTTGAAATCATGATATTTTAATTTTTCATTCGCATGTTATAATCAAAGTGTACATGCTATTTCTGAACATTTTTAGTAAACGTCTAGAGAAAAGTTCAATTGCATTATTCCTAATTCTTTTCTCATCTGGATTAAAAATAAAATAAAAAAAGTCAAATAATTTCTTGTACTTTCATGATTCTTAATTGGTTGGTGCTCTGCCATCAATGGAGTGCATCATTGAGCTGTTTCAGTTATCGGCTCTTAAATGCTTGGTAAGAAATGAATTTAGAAATGTATAGTATACACATGCTTGAATTAAAATTTATGGAAGCGGGCAATGTATTCTTTGCTATACCAAGTTCGCTGTCTGAGATTCAGTATAATGTGGGAACTAACTAATATTCGGTAGAGGGGTTGTCGCATGCTAGTTTCTTTGCTATTTTATGGGTGGTTTGGATTGAGAGGAACCATAGGACTTTTAGAGACGTGGACCAATCTTGCGACAAGCTTTGGGAGATGGTTAGGTTTAATGCCTACCGATGGGTGTCAATTACTAGGCCTTTTCGTAATCAGTCTTGGCTTGGTTTTCTTGGAAAAGGGGTCCACTTTTTAGCTTTTCTGAGATGTCTTTTTTGTTGGGTTTCTTTTTTTATTACCCTTATATATTTTTTCATCTTTCTCAATGAAAGCATGGTTTCATACCAACGAAAAAGAAACTATAAATTTTAACAATATGAAAAGATATTTTACTGGAAATTGATATTCTCTGTACAATCCTGCTTCCTATATATTCCAAACTTGGTATTTGTAAGAAGTAAAAGTTCCATGTTTAGTATTGCTTTTGAATCTCAAACTATAGCTGGCTTTTGACAGCTGGTAATTATTCTTAATGCATTCAACCTTGCTGTTTATCTTCTGTCAGCCGTAGTGTGTACAAGTCCCTGCATATTCGTTTCACATTACTATACCATTATGTTGGAGATCTTACACGTTGTTGAGATCCAACTTTAGCTTTTCTTTATTTATAAATTATCAGTTCTTTCTCCCTTGAATAACATTGTATATTTTCTATTATCATCCTTTTTGTATGTAAATGCTTACATCATATTTTCAATATTCTTTTGGTCAAAATAATATGCCATTGGCCATGCAATATTCTTATGTTCTTGTTTATTTGTAGTCTTAAAATATCAACATATAGACACCAGGAAGAGAATCATCAGACTGGAGCAAGGGATTAATGCTTGTATGCAAAGATCTATTGCCTCTCATGGGGCATTAGCAGTTCTTTGTGGCCGACATTCGAAGCATTACATTAAGAAATCAGAGGTACTTTATTGATTTATATTTTGAAGTAAGCCAATCTATCGATGATCACTGAGCTCTTGTTTGAGGTAGTTTATGAGGTCTTGTGATGACTTCAGTTGGATCAAATTAAGATGTTTGTTTGTCACCGTCCAGGACATTGATAAGTGTATTGAGTATTAGATTGGTTTCCTTTGGCATTTTGTTCTCTTTTGAGTTCCCTTCCCTGTACTAAATGATTATCTTAAAGTCATAGATGGACATATTCACTGATAAGGATGTAGTTGAGTTCATTATGATAGCTTCGATGGTGATGTAGATTGTTAAGCCACAAGTTAAATTCACTGAAGCAACCTAAGAACGCACTGCCGAGTGGATTTGTTCTGAAGGAAAATAATCTGGCTTGGCTTATTAAGCATCATTTATATGCAGGTTCTGCTGGGTAGAGCAACTGCAGAATTCATTGTAGACATTGACTTGGGAAGTGAGGGAAGCGGTAACAAAATATCTCGACGGCAGGTAGAGTTGATTCAATCTTTTTTTCCAAATTGTATCCATATCGAGAATGTGGTTGTGAGAGTTTTGTCTACCTTTTTAGCTGGGTACAACTATTCTCTTGTTATATTTATCTTCTGTTCATATAGTGTTCTTATGGAGATGGATGAATCTTGATTATTCTCTTTTCAGGCAATTATAAAAATAGATCAGGATGGATTTTTCTCCCTGAAGAATCTTGGCAAGTGCTCAATCTCCATAAATAACAAGGATGTGGCCCCTGGTCACTGCCTGCGACTTAATTCTGGTTGCTTGATTGAGGTATGTTTCTCTTGTTACTAGAACGGAACAATGCTTATGTTTTGAAACCTAGACGTTGTGCTTAAAATTATGTTTAGAAGATGCAGCAGTTTCATATTTTATCTGTTAATTACTATTCTTCATGGGGCTGTAGCCTTAGAATGGTTGGAACTCTGGATTTTTGGAAGTGATCATGTTGCATTGTACGTCTATGCTCAAGAATTTGAATGTTTTACCGTTTTCATCTGTGTGAGCATTTGCAGATTAGGGGAATGGCATTTATATTTGAGTCAAACCCAGTTCGTATGAAGCAGTATGTAGATAACGTAGGCAAGACATCTCACAAACAGGAGTATCAATCATAATGATAGATGGCAACGTAGCTGGCATGGACTGTTGTACAGTCGGAAGGTGCTCATGTTTCTGCACTTTCTTCTGGTTCTTTAGGTATGCTTGCTGTGTTAAGTTGTTATCTAGCATGCGATTAGAAATGTAAATTCTATTAGTTTCAGTAATTCCAGTAGTTATTTCGTAAATTGCTTTGTGATTCAACGTTTTACTTCTCAATGAGGTTTTATTGGATTGCTAAAGATGGGAAACAATAGCAACAACACGTTTGTGGAAAGATTATTTCGAGAAGTAACATCAGCGAGGAGTTGTCCAACCAAATTGCGAAGATATAGGTAAATTTGTACTCGTTATCTACCCAACCCAGCCACGCATTCTGGTTACTCCCTGAGACATCCAAGTGGGTTATAGGCATCCCACAAGTTTCTTCACTGATGCTTCCCATCTTTGCACTTTGGAGCCCCACCAACTGAAGTTGCTATCTTTTTGGGATATAGCTTCAGGTCAAAATGAAGGTAATGATCCCTGAAATCGAATCTGGGCTCCTTGCTCTGCCCATCCCTAGTAACCAGCTTGGCCAATTCCATACCTATCTAGAAAGTGTAACAATTTGGCTTGGGTCGAAAGGGATACCTTCAAAGGAGGTCTTTTCTGCTGTGCTAGCATTAACTCTTACATTATTTAACAATATCGTGTACATATGGAACTTACAATTACAAGAAATTAATCATAACCTTTGCTGACAAGTTGTGTGAGCTCTGTTGATAATCTTCAATGCTATCTATTGCGAATATCTTGTAATACAAGACCTTGCCTTCTCAAAAATGTGCCTCTAACCCTTTGAACAGCCTAGGTGATGTATTTGTAGAGGGAGTTGAGGTTGCAACATTTGACAGCCAATTTCATCTAGAGGCGTAGTGAGAAGGGGAAAGAACAGTAGAGTGAAGGATATCTGACAAATTCAATACAAAAGAAACTGCAGGTTGGGACAATCTAATCACGATTTCAACTCAGGACAGCTACAAAACGAGGCAGTGGCTGATGTCTGATGTGTTGGATTGAGAGACTCACCGACCTGTCCAAACTGATAAAAGCCTTATCCATCTGATTCTGAACTGAAATCGGGAATTTATTGCAATACTTTGTTGTTGTCGAGAAAGGGGATGAATCTTCTTGGTACCTGCGCTGTTTTGATTTTCTGCTCTTCCAAGTTGGTAGCCACTTATTTTGATTTGTCATTCTCTTACTACTGACATTTTATCAATTAATTTATATCTCTATATGTAAGAAATTATTGAATGAATAGAAGATATAAGTTGTTCGGAATATATTATAATTGTGGCTAGGGTGATGGTTCTCGTTCCTTAGAGTGGGTCCTCCTGGAGTTTGTAGGCAGATCTAAACGATCTTGTCTGGACAAAGAGATGAATGGCCATGTAATAATAGTGCTGTCTCCATGAATTATTCACTCCAACTCTAAGGCTTGCCTCTTCATAATTCTATCTATAATTTCTGTAATTGTTCTTGCTAAGTTCCCAACTTTTTTCAACCATTCTTAGTAATACAATAAAGATGAATTCAGGGGCTATTAAAATCTATATCCATCAAATTTACAACTCATACAAACTCAAATTTGAGTCATGTTTCTAAAATTGCTCATTCTAAATACCTCCGATCGATATGTGATGTCACAATTCAGGTCAAGTGTTTTTACTAACGCACTGTCTGATGTCTAGTTCTGTCCTTACTGACACACTATTCGGTATTTGGTTTGGGCTGATATGTATCACTATTAACTTCAAGTTTTAAAATGCGTCTTCCCGTAAGAGATTTCTACACATTTATAATATATGATCTTTTGTAATGGTCCTTGCAAGTGTAATAAAGGTGAGAATGGTGAATGGATATGAAAGTTGAAGATGGCAATGGGGGAGAGATAGCAGCAGCCTTGCTTGCATTATGGGTTACCATACCCTTCCTTGCCTTCTGTCTTTACTTTTAGTTTACACTTCCCTTTCAGTTTTCAGTGCCCCTTCCTTCTCTCTCCCCTCACCAATTTCATCAAACCTCTTTCTAAATACGCATTTCCACCCTTTTGATTATTGTTGTTATTCTACTTTTACAAGAATCTCATACATTTTCTCTCCATTTACTTCAGATTTAGGATCTTACCCTCTTGTCTATTCTATAAAAGATCATATAAAGTTAGTTGACAAGGACTCATACCAATCCAATGAGTAGCATTTTTGAAACCTAAAAGATCATTATTTATAACTATATATTTTGGTTAACTAATGATGAAATGAGTTGAATTATAGGTTTGTTGATATGGTGGCGTGGTGGGAAGATATTGATAAGGGTTTGGCATAAAGGATGTAGATGGAGCATTAATGGTCATTCATTGTGTGACATTTATTCATTCTTTTCATTTTATTTTGGAGGGCATCATAACTATTCATTTATTGCACCCAATAGCAACCCCTTCATCCCCATATGCTTTATTCCCCAAATTCATATGGGATTCTAAACCCTACATTAGTTGAAGAGAGGAGGAGAAGCTCGGAAGTGGAAGCATAGAGAGAACAATATGGACTTGAATTGTTATAAATGATATCAAAATCAGTCATTGAGCGGTATGTAAGCGAAGATGCTGGGCCCATAAGGATGTGGATTGTGACAAAGTTGAACAAAACATTCCGGGTAGCAGATATGTTATAACATACGTATGTAAAAGTTTAAAGAGAACAATATTTACTAGTAGTGGGCTTGAGGAACGAACAATAAAGGTGTGGAAACCTCTTCATAACATATGTATTTTAAAATCTTGAAGAGAAGTTTAGAACAATATCTACCAGCAGTGAGCTTGAAGAACGAACAAGAAAATCTCTCCTAACAAAACCATTTTAAAACTTTGAGGCGTGATAAATACAGCGGGAAATTTATGATATCATTTTATAACGATCAAGGAAAAGTATTGATATCCCTGTATATCACAACGTTTACCATTAATGGTCATATGAACTCAAGTCGGTACTCACATTAACATATTTAAACCAATTTAGAAAGTGAAAGTCAATGTTGTTCAAAAGAAAATGTGAAAGGTTTAAAGGCCACCAGGATGGCCGGGGTGGTCCCGGCCGGCAGGGCGCGTGGAAAGCACTTCCCGGCAAAAGCGGTTTTGAGGATTTTAATTAAATAGATTCGGTAGGTATGGGGAGCTTAAAAATCCCATCTTTTTTTCATATGGGCTTTCCAGTTAAGGTATGGTATTTCATCCACTTTTTTCCCACCCTATTCCAACTCCAACTAATTTTTATTTTAAATAAATTCTCAAATTTTAATATTTTGTCTTCTTTTATAATTTTTTCATTATTTTATTTTACTAAAATTCTCTCAATTTTTAAATTTTTATATTTAGATTTTAAACTGTAACTAAATGACTTTTATCCAATAATTATTTTTATTTAAAAAAAAAAAAACTATTTTTATTAAGTGCATTTATAACCGTACACCCTTCGCCCGGTTCCCCCCCTTAGATTCGGAAAGTTTCGGAGATGAAGATTCAGTGCGACGTCTGCAGCAAAGACGAGGCGCTGCTTTTCTGCACCGCCGACGACGCCGCCCTCTGCTCCACCTGCGACCACCGCGTCCACCACGCCAACGTCCTCGCCTCCAAGCACCTCCGCTTCCCCCTCCTCCATCCCAACAACAACAATTTCCCACTCTGCGACATCTGCCAGGTCCCTCCTCTGTTTCACTTCTTCCATTTTCATGGCTTCTAGAACCTTTCGGTTCATGATTTCCAATTTACAGGAGAGACGAGCGTTCCTATTCTGTCAGCAGGACCGGGCGATTCTGTGCAAAGACTGCGACCTTCCAATCCATTCGGTAAATGAGCTTACCCAGAAGCACGATCGGTTCCTTCTTACCGGCGTGAAGCTCTCTTGTGAGTCTTCCGGGAATGTGCCGTCGTCTTCCTCTATGTCCGAGAAGATGGCTAATGCTTCTTCTGCCCCTGTTTCGAATTCGCCTTCAATTGCCGAGAGTTCAACTTCTAACGCCCAGACAGTGGGTGCGTCCACCGATGGTTGTGAGGCGATGAATGGTGTGGAGTATTTTATTGACGCGATTTCTGGGTGGCATTTTGATGAATTTCTTGATTCTTCCTCTACCGATGCTCCTCCTTTTGGTTTCTGTAAGGTCTGCAACTCTGCATTTATGGATGTTTTTTCTGTTCTTTTTATTGGGGCGGTGGATCTGAAAATTTGACTTAATTTGAATTAATTAACCCAGCTGCAGAGCGATGAGGTTGATGGTGATTGGGTTTTTCTATTTGTTGATGATTTAGTTGAATTAGAAACGAGCGCGGATTCTTTCTCGTCGGAGGATTGGGGAATTTGGAGCCCTGAGGAGGAGGCTGCCGTACCTCTGTTTTGTTCAGAGATTGAGATGGAGGAAGGGAAGAAAGGTAGAACCTTGAAAGAGAAAACCAGAGGAGGAGGAGGTGGTGGTGGCGGTGACGGTGGGATTTCGGTGCCGGAGGTTGATCTCCGGCCGAGAAGATTCAGATTCTCTTGATTTGCGTTTTGAGGTCGTGATTTTGTGTATACGTACATGCATTTTGGATGTTGCGGCTAACTCCATAATCAGAAGTGCATGGTTTCTTTTTTTGGCTAAATTCTAAAAGAATATATCCATTAATTTTGTCACATCTTTCTTAAATAATTCTATTCTTTCATTTAATCTTTCATACACATTTTTAAGTAAAAATATATTTAAATATTGGATTAAATCTAAGACACCATTCTCATTATAAAAAATCTAAACAACTAACCAGCTGATGTAAGATCTTGTATAACCACACGTCAACACTTACCAAAAAGTGAGCTTAATGAAATTGTGAGTCATGTGTGGGTCATTATGTGTGGGTCATTATCAATGGGTGGCGCTAAATATAGTTTATTCAGTCATTCAACTTCATTAGCCAACAACCTTGAAATTCTATGATGAGCAATGGCACTCAACACAACACTAAAGCATAAAGATCAAACCAATCGATGGAAAAGCAAAAAATAAAAAGGAAAAGAAAAGGAAAGGAAAGGAAAGGAAAGGAAGCTGCTTTAGCAAATTCACCTAAGCTAAAGAGAGACCACTTTTGGCGGGCCCAGGCCCAACCACAGCGCCCAATCAAATCAACCAAGTCATGGAATCCGAGTCCAGCAATCAATAACAACCTTACAAAAAAAACCAAATTATGGAAGTTGTGGCTCCCAAATTACAGGCGTCGGCGTCGGCAGTGAGCCTTGCACATGTATCGACAGTCGTAAAAGCAAGGCCCGCCGCAGTGAAGCGGACAGTCCAATCTCATGCCTCTGCATCTTCCTTTCACCATACATTCCGCAAATTCTCCCATACTATAATCTTCCTCATTGTATATTCTCTTCCTGTCTACATTTTTCCTTCTCCCACCGCCGCGTCTGCCATATTTTGGCTGTCCACCACAACCCCATTTCCACCACCCACCTCCGCCTCCTCCCCATCCCCATCCACCACCACCACCACCTCCTCCTCCACCCCCTCCACCTCCACCACCTCCGCCCCATCCCCACCCATACCCACCGCCTCCTCCCCTGTTCTGCTTGCTAACCTCAACCGTAGTAGTATTACCAGAACTGTTTCTCCCCTCCCCTGCATTTCCCCGTGGCAGCTCGGAGAATGTTAAGAAAGTGCCATTTTTCAAACCCTCAGCTCTCGACCCATAAACCGCTACTCCAAAAAACACTAACAAACCACAGAACATCATTCCATTTTCCAAACCCATTTCTTGCATTGGTTGTACTGTTTGAAAGCCCATATATAGGACGTTCTTCTTTTTCTTGAAGAAACCCCACGAACCCAACCCAACCCAACCAACGTGCAGTACAGATGGGATGGCTTGAATCCTACTTTTGTTCTGTCCCCCCACTTGCATTGCAAAATCAACAACGCCATACCGCTTAACTAAAGCACTGTTGCCCACATTCACCAAATCGACTTCTTTTGCGAGTGTCATCAATGCGACCAAGCGGTGGTGGGCGGTGGGCGGCTTTGTTGGTTGTCCCGTGCACAAGGAACCGCCAACTTCACCCAAAAGAATAAAAAATTTATAATTTAAAAGATCACCCTTTGCTCTAATTACCCTTGATTACTTTAGATTAATGTATAATTTGATTTCCTATCTTAATTTTTTAACCCAATTTAGTAATATAAAGTGAATTATAATAATCGTTTAATTATATAAAAATCAACGATAAGCATAAATAATCAGTTGCTTTTCTATTATTTAATATTATTAATTTAAGAGTTTTTTTTTTTTTTTTTTTTTTTTTTTTTTTTTTTTTTTTTTTTTTTTTTTTTTTTTTTTTTTTTTTTTTTAAGGAATAGTTTATTTGTGATAGTCTAGTTGGTTAAATACAACTAAA